CTGCAGGAATGCAGACCTCTTGCTGTGAGCATTCGTGATTCGCCGAAGGACCTTAGTACACGCCCACTCATGATGTCATCATGGTTCCCTTTCGGGGACCATAGCTTTTTGGTTTGGAACCTGTTTTTAGTTTGGTGTAAATGTTCAGAACCATTCAAAAATCAGTTTGCGAACTGGAGTGGAACCGGTTCTCTGTTGGTGGAAAAGCACCATGTGACAGGCTGGAGCCCTGTCCAGGGTGTGGCTCACCTTATTCCTCGCCTAATACCCCGCCTTAGCTCATGGTGTTGGCTTCTCTGCGTAGATATCGACGAGTGTGCTCTGGGGTTCTGCGGTGGCACGTGCATCAATACCATTGGAAGTTTTTCATGCCACTGCGAAGGGTGGAAGGGCCTGCAGCTGGCCACGGATGGACGGACCTGTGAGGTATGCTTCCAGGGAAAAGACAGCATTGAATTTTATTCCTGAGCGTAAAATGGGGCTCTCAAAAAGGAGATTGTAAGACATATTTTCTTGGACAGAAAATCCCTGTTTGTATTGAACTGGACGACTCCAAGGATGCGGAAATTCTGTATCTCGGGGAGCAGTTCACTGGGATTCCTGTCATTTACCTGCGGTACCGCCTTCCAGAAAATTCCAAGTGAGTTCTCCCCCCACCGGTGTGTCTGAGTGTGTGTAACCACTAAACAGTCTAAGCCTCTAAGGGAACCCATGTATGCTAATGAACTCTTTATTTATGGGTAGCTAAATTTGTTAGCTAACCCGATGTTGCATGTCACAGACAAATGTTTCAGACTGTGATTGTTCAGACATTTGGAAACTGTCAGGTTTACTCAGTGTGGTTCAACAAATTATTTTAGCATCAGGGTGTGAGATCATTGTGTTATTTTTCAAGTCCCTCACATTCCTGAGTACCATCATTTTTTCCCACTGTAAGGTTTACAGCAGAGTTCGACTTCCGTACCTTTGACCCAGAGGGTGTGATCCTTTATGCTGAATCATCCCCAGAGGCCTGGTTCTTACTGGGTCTGAGGGATGGTCAACTTGAGGTCCAGTTCAGCAAGGACAAGTCGTTCAAGAGCACTAGAGGTGGAAAAGAGATCAACGACGGGCAGTGGCATGTGGTGAGAGTGCGATAACTTGATGACAAGCCATCATAAGATATTGCCTTTGGACCACTGGGCAAACAGAGTTTGTGGTTTACATTTTCTACTGGGCTTGTGACTTTTGGCGCTTATCTACTGGCATACAGGAACTGACCCGAGAAACCACAAAGACAGCATAGTTCAGTTTAGGCAGGCTTGCGACTGCGCTAGTAAGCAGGGCTGTGTCAGAACGGGTTGCAATGGAAAATCGTCAGTTCCTGGTACGGGTCAGGTAAGGCTAGGTTCTTGGTGGCAGTGGAAAAGCACCATTTGTTCTGCCCTGTAGATATCGGTGGAGGAGCTGGACCGCAGTGTCAGTGTGAAGATCAGCAGGCAGGCTGTGATGAGCATCACCAGCCCAGTGAACCTGTTCAATCCCGTCAACGGGAAGCTGGACACCAAAGTGTACATCGCCGGGCTTCCCAACCATACCGACAACCTCATGAAGCCGGTAAAACACACCCACCACCCATCCTCTAATCTGCTACAGTTAGCACAGATTTCCACACTATAGCCATGTTTGTAATTACAGATAAATGCTTTTATAAGCAACAGGGGACATTAAAGGTGCAAGACCATTCATAATGCAGCTCAATGTATCATCCGATTTTAAAAAGTTAGCCGTACTGTTTCCTAAACTACATCTGTTGCAGCTTTAACAAAAGCTGGAAGATAATCCAAAAGCTGTAAGAAACTTTTGGGTGGAAGCCAACAGATGGTGCTGTTTTGCTGCAGGTGTTACACAAAGTGCCAAACAGTTACTCAAGTTTTTGAGATGGGCCTTGCAAATGGCGATGGAGATGGTACCAAAGAGCCCTGCACAAATGCTTCAGTTTTGTTTTTGGCCTAAAATCATTTACTTAACTCAATGCTTATTGAAAGGATTCTAGGTACAGTATTCCTCGGATATGTCACTGGGTTATGCTGTCAAATTTTTCAACCTACCAAAACCTTAGGTAAAGTATAACAAAAGCCTCTCTAATTATACCCAAAGAGGAAAAACCATTTCATCAGGTGCACTGAACCATGCTCTAGTCCAGCCACTGGAGTTGATTTGACATGGTTATCGCTTAAAGGTCTACGCGAGTCCTCAGCATACTGCTAGCATTTGTGTGGCTCTTGGTCCTCTTTCAGATTAATCCCAGGCTAGATGGCTGTATCCGTGGTTGGAACCTGATGAACCAGGGAGGATCAGGGGTCAAGGATGTGATCCAGGAAAAGAAAAGCAAGCACTGCCTTATTGAGGTGGAGCGAGGGTCCTACTTCGCTGGAGCTGGGCTTGCAGAGTTCAACCTGGACTACAGTAAGTACAGGAATCTAATACCACCTGGACTATAGTATGTAGTTCAAAAGGATTATGGTGCATATGGTTTGCAGTACAGAAAACGGATCCATGGGCTATAGAAACCAAACTGGACTTTATTCTTGAGGGTTACTGCTAGCTTATGTCTTGTCCTCTGGTCTGTCTGGTTATTTAACATAAAATGAAATGAAATGATGCTTTGTTTATTTGTATGAGTACAGATACATAGGGATGCTTCTTTCACATATCCCATCTTGCTCTCCTTTGCGACACACACATTATACACAGTTCAGAGCAAAGTTTTATATCTGTTTAGATTTTTTTTTTAGATATATCAGCAGCTCAATATTTAATATTTACATTTATCTTTTCAGAGGAAGCAGATTCTTGGAAGATCAACCTTAATATGAGAATTCGACCATCCAAAAGTACTGGAGTCCTGTTTGCCCTTGTCAGGAACAACACGGTGCACATCTCCATCTCTATGGTGGCCCAGGGACTTGAGGAGTCAGTAAGTCTGTCCGGCCGGTTGCTGTGATGATCAGCTGACCCACCCCAGCTTCATCCTGTCTGCGCAGGCCCCTGTGCTCTCCTGAGTATATCGTTGTGCTTCTCAAAGACCCTGCAGGTCTTCCTGGGAGACGTAAGCGTGGCAAAGCTGGAGTCCGTGATGCTGTGCTACCCGGGTCACTTGTCTGTGGAGCTCGCCATATCCAGATCCAAACTCGAGATCCTGGCCAATTCCTCCAACATCATGTATGCTCAGCCCGAAGTCCTACAGAACCTCCTCGCCGCCCTTGATCCCACAATGCAAGAGCCCATCAGCACTTTTGTTGGAGGTGTCCCAGGTAAGGTATTTTTAACTCTCTCTCCATATGTAGGTGGCTAATACATTTATACTTATGTGTTTATCATATGCACATTTGTTTAATTCTATAACTTAGTATTTTTGGAGTCCTGTGGCCTGTACTACGAAGCAGGGTTACTGGCTTATCGGGGTAACTTGTCGGATTCATTGGCTGCTGTTTTTTCACATCCTTTCATCAAAATGGCATTCATTCCACTCACTCAGCACTTGTCACATTCCTGCATTCCACTCATTTAGTCACTTTTTAATGTTACTCCTTTTGCCGTTTGTGTGGGCTGGGCTGCTTGCTTTGTATTTTACATGTCTTCCCGTCACGCTGAAGGGATGTTATAAAACCAACACTGGGGTCAGAGCTACTAGAAAAAGAGAAATATTTACATGCAACTTTATCTCCATTCCAAAGTAAAGATATCGTGCACTATCGTGGAGACCTTGTATTCCAGCTCCCAGAGATGTCTGGCTCCTCTGTGAAGAATATATTCTGTATTCTCTCACCTTATAATAAGTGTTTTTATAAAGTCCATAGCAAGCACTTGGCTCTAACAGCTATGTCCAAATATCAAACAGTATATAAAAACCTTGAGTTGCCTATATACAACCTGTTTTATTCCTTCAGTGTTCATAGTCAGAGTGCTGGAAGCATCGTTTTGGAATAAGGATAGGAGACTTTGGACTTTTTCCCCCTGCGGTGTGTGTTTACCCTGACGTCTCTCTCTGTCTTTCCATGGATAGAGGTTCCTCTAACTGCCACCCCTGTGACTGCCTTCTACCACGGCTGCATGGAGCTCACCGTCAATGGCCGGAAGCTGGACTTCGACGAGGCTGTGAGCAAACACAACAGCATCAAGTCCCACTCATGTCCTCGGGTGTCAGACTATTGAATGACCTTTTTTTTGTTTTTGTTTTTACACTGTGTACTCCTTTCCTGATGTGTAAACTGTCACTTTGTATTCAGAGCATAATTTAATCTCCGTTACATTAAAATTTCATTAATATTTAATATTTTAGGAATTTTATTCAGACAACTATATTAAAAAGTTGCAAAACACCGGTATGTGGGTTTTATAGAAATATAAATGTATAAATGTAGCGCTTTATTTGCAGGTCTGATACAACGATTCTAGTTTTGTGATGTTTTTTTTTTGTTTGTTTTTTAGATAAACTGATTGTTACGTGGTAAAAACAACGAATCCCAGATCCCTTACAAGCCGTTGGAATATCGGTCTCGCTAAAGTATCCGTCGCCTGTTCGAACGTCAAATAGTTTTTTAAGTACTTTATGATAAGTTGTGTCCTTTCCGCTGAGATTTTTTCAAAGACGTGTATTTCGTTAATTTTAATAAAAACTATTGAAAGTGATTTTTTGTTAACTTTTTCATTTGCGCTAGTGAAAACGATCTTTGAGCTTCGCCCACGGGATTTTGCTTTGGAACGTCAAAATAAACTAATGGAGAGTGAAAATGTTTGCGGATAGAAGTTGGTTTTATGGAGAAAGTAGAAGCGATGCCGACTTTGCGTGTGATGGATGGATGGATGGATGGCGTGACTACCGGGACGGGGGATGGTCACCTCTCCGCACGGTCTGAGGCTAAATATTTCCGATTTTAAGCGGCGTGTTTTTAAATGGGCAGGGAAATGGTGCGTCATTCGGGATAATTTGACAGGCTTTTTAAGAGGGCGGTACCATAGACGCTCAGTTAGGAGTGACTACAGTAGATCACCTTAATTTTACGCCATTTTTTTTTCCCTAAAACGGGGGGAGGAGAAAGAAAGAGGAGAGGCAGGGGGGAAAAGGAGCTCCGGTGGAAAGGTCTTTTTTTTATTACACCGAGGACAGCCGGCTCCGCAGTAAGGAGACACGCAGGAATATGGAGGCAGTATAAGAAGAGGAAGGAGGACATCTGTGTAATGCCGCTGGTCGTGCGGGCAAAGGCGCTGATCTGTATGCAGCTACTGCGGCTGTCGGCCACCACACTCAGCTGAACCAGGGAGGAGGAGGAGGAGGGGGGAGAGAAACTTTCTCCGTCCGGCAAAGCAAACATGCGGCGGGCTGCGACTCTCTTTCCGCCGGGATGCCCGCCGCTCCTGGTTCTCCTGCTGCTGTTGCTGGTGCTTCCCCACTCCTGGCAGCGTAAGTATCCTAAATCTACCTCTATTTGCTCAGTTCACTGTGCATGTTTTTTTTCTTTTTGCCCGGGTTTATGTTTGACTTTAGCCGGTTGCATTTCCCTTCGCTGCGGGAAAAGCAGCCTCGCTCCTGCGCCGTGATTCCCTCCCCCTGCGCACAGAAGCATCCTGAATCACGCTGAATCCTCACTTCTCCCTTCGGCCGCATAGGGGGCATGAGGGACGGCTCTACCCGGGGCAAACTGCTGCATAGGGCAGCTGGTTGGAAAAGGAACAGCCGCCGATATGCATTTTCTGTCCGCCTTCCTCTTTTGCAGTGTCGCTGTCGCCGGAGGAGGCAAACCAGTTCCTGAAGCGGGGACGACGCGCCTACCAGGTTTTCGAGGAGACGAAGCAGGGCCACTTGGAGCGGGAGTGTGTGGAGGAGCGGTGCAGCTATGAGGAGGCGCGGGAGGTGTTTGAGAACGACCCGGAGACGGTGAGGGAGCCCGAGCCGCATTACCACAGGCATTACAGCGAATTTTTATTTTTTAATTACTGCCACAGGATCAAACAGCGGCTTCTTTGGTTTTATTAGTCCCATATGACCTTTGTTTGGAACGGCACAGTCTGTTTTACTCTGACCTACAAAATCAGCACTTTGATTAAATGTACATGCTTGCGCAAAGAATATCTTTTTATTTTATTATTTTTTTAATGGTGACCCTCCCATTTTTATAGTTTGTACCTGTCTTTGCTATAGTTAAAAATTTCCGATTCTTTTGTGATTGCAAAAGATTTTGTTAAAGATTTGTGATGGTACCCAGCAGGGCTGCAGTGAGGTTTGCGTTAAAGCTAGACTGATATTTCCTTGTACAGCAGGGCTGCAGTAAGGTGTGTCTTCAGTATGCAGGGGCAGGTGAGGGGTTAAAGACACTGACAGATTTCGGGGACCCAGCACTTAAAACAGAGGCCCTTGAATGTGTAAAATGATAGCTAAAAGTGAGTGGGGGGGCAAAGTGACATTTTGTCATTGGATCCAGAATTTTTAGGTGTGACCCTGTGGGAATGTGTCACTGTGTTGAATTAATTTGATCGACAGCTCTCCATGCGGCGTGGCACATTAACTGCTGATTTCACTGAAAGTCGTCCTCTATTGTCCTTTATGGGTGACCCCCCCCCCCCCCATAGATTTGAGCGCTGTTGACCTTAGCAGTTCTCCTGTCCCTCCCCAGTGGATTGTAGACGGAAGAGTATCTGCAGAGCTCTCATTAAGAGTGGGTGACTCACGGTTGGAGGCTTATCTGATACATGGAACCACTTGGCACACAAGTAAACCCCGAAGCCGGGGGGGGGATGTGGTTCCAGGTGGCCTTCACGTTTGATCCTGAGCACGGTGCCATTACAAAGCCCCTCGGCCCCTGCCAGATCCCATCAGATCCAGTTCCATGCTGCCACCCCATATCCTGGAAATGTTGGGGGGGGCGTGGCCCGGCCCGTGATTATGCAATACAGTCAGCTTCCAGGCTGGAGTCTCTCTGGTGTCTCTGAGCATCATCTTAAAGTAAGAGGATGAGTGTCGTGCCACCGGCGGAGTTTAATCGTAAACCCGGTGCGGGGAGGTGACCCTGAGCTGGGGGTCATGCTGTTTTTTTTTTTTTTGTTTGTTTTTTTTTTGGGTTTGTGTGCGTGTGTGTGTGTCATGTAATCTTCTGTTTGCCTGTCGCTGGTCGTGAAAGGACAACATGTGGCTCAGCAAGTTATGATGCTGTGCTTGTGATCGCAAGGTTACCGGTTCAAATCCCAGGGTTGACAGACCGATGACACCATTGGGTCTCAATTGATTCGGAAGCTGTCTGACTGTACCGTTTCTGTTGAACGTTGCTGTGGACGAAAGCATTTGCTAAATTTCTTAAAAAGGAAGGGGGTCAGCTATGGTAGACTATGGTCTAATCATGTCTTGTGGGTCATGGTAGACACTGCCATTTGAGGTTCAGTGTCAAGGACTGTGGTTGGCAGAGCTTCCGATCGCCGTGGTGATGCAAGGATTCGCTTGCAGTCATGCCAAACATTATTTATTATTAAATGCTGTCCTGCGGGCTCTGCAGTAGGACAGCTTTTGCTGCAAGTCACGGCATCTACGGCGTAACGTGACACTTCGCTTGGTTCCGCCTCCGTGTCATCCTGGCGGACCGCCTCATCAGACGGCTGGAACCCAGACAGCAGCCGGAACGTTCTGACTTTCGTCTTCCTCGAAACGCAGGAAAACAAAACGCAGACGTGTCGTAACAGGGAAACCCAGGGGAATGGTGACGCAGGCATGGGAGGATGGGAAACTGGGGCTGTCACTCAGAGCGGCTTCTGCGCAGATGGAGGACCTTGAGTTAGACGTTCCGCCTGGGGGGGCAGGAGGAGTAAAGGGCTGTTTTACCCAAATTTTCTGTGCTGTGGAATTAATGATGACATTGTCTAGATGATGATCTGGTCCGACCTTTGACCTGAGTTTCCCAGCTCAGGACATGATCATTGTGTTTGTCCCTAATAAGGGCCCCCTCCAGGCCAATGTCCCTGGTTTAATACCCATCTAAAGGCTGTAGCGAGTTACTCTTTATGCGACGGGAAAACAGGCAGTTCTCACTCTTTGTTCCTCTGTGGAATTTGCCCCCCCCCCCCAACCACCCCGCTCGCTGTTTTGATTTCTCTGGCTTTTTGGCTTTGTTAGACTGTAAAGCTTGACCCACATAGAAGCAGTACATTCCAAGCAATATCAGAGTGTTACTGGGGGCTGCACGCCGATAACCAGCTCAGACTGTGTCGGCACAAGTTCCAATGCAGGAATAATTTTTTTGTTAAACATTACGGAGCTCTTCTTGGTGTGTAAGAGATTCCCGACTCCTCTTTAGTCCCGGATGAGCAGGTAAGCTCAGGGGATGCACTTTCGGCTCTGCATGCGGTGCGTTTATATGCACCGTGGTGCGCGAAGTGTGTATGAGCAGCTGCAGGGAGACTGCATGCTGTTTGTGACCCTCCGCTTAACCCGAATGCCCACCAGGGCTATAGCTCTGGGGTCACTGCATAATTCTGCAGTGGGTCACTGCAGTTTCAAAGCCACGCCTTGACCATCCCGGTGACCCCGACGGGGTTCGCGGCCCCTGCTTCGTGTCGGCCTCCTGTCTGGGATGTGAGCCCTCGTCTGTTCTCAGAGCTCTGTGAGCTACAGATACTGTCTGGGGGGATTTGAGGTGGTCCCGCTGTTCAGTGTAGCTGCTGCAGTTATGATTCACCCCACTCATACCATGATTCAAGAACCCCAATCTAGACTGACTCTAAATCCTAGAAATTTCCATAATCCCATACGTCTAAACTGGTCTCCCACTAGCATCGATATTACTGAAGTAGACTGTCTGTGCCTTTTAGGGATAAGGGTCAGCTGGGTTGAGTGGTCAGCTAAGCTCTGCTAAATACTAACTTTGTGCAGACGCGCTACACCGGACGTTCCGGCAGGTCACCGGTTTTGGGATCCCCCCCCCCTCAGCATTTCCATTCTCCCTCTTTTGCAGGACTACTTCTATCCCAAGTATCTGGGTAAGTGCCAGAGACGGCCGTGATCGCTCTCCTTGCGTAGGATGAGTCTGCATTTGCGTGGACGAGGTCGTGGTCGAGCGTGACTGACCGCTCCACCGTCTCTCTCTCTCTGCGTCAGACTGCATACACAAGTTCGGGGACTCTGAGAGGAAGAGGCAGGACCTGATCACCTGTGTGCACAGTGAGTGCCCTCAGGCTTTTCCCTATTTTTTTTTACTCTCCATCTTCCACGTTATCTGTCGCTCCTCCAATTCCCTCTGCAGCGAGGATGTGTGCAAGTTTTATTAATAGCAGGATGGGGGGGGGGCGCTCTCGTGCTCCTCGTTCAGCTGCACTGCAGTAGCGCTCTGCAGCGGGGAGGTGGGGCACGCGGACAGCACTGCAGCCTGGGCACCCCGCAAGGACGCAGCCTACAAACAGGGACGCGTGACATGGAGATCCCCCCCATACAGGACCTGTTTATCTTCCCCAACATCTGGCTGCCCCCTCTCCTCCCTCAGCCTGTCACTGGACCTCCTCTCGCAGTTATCCTGCCTAGGCATGTCCTGGCTTGTTCAGCAAGGCGAGGCAGGAGCGGGTTTGACAGGATATTATAGGAGAGCCCACAAGCCGTGTGAAGGTCTCGCGGTCTATCGGGTTCCTGGGTATGAAACTGGGGAGAGTGTGTCACTGTAGGAATCTGCAGTATTTACAGTGAAGGACACGCCAGTACTGCATGGAGACCACAGTATTTTTTTATATTGGAACCGGACTAACCTAGAGCATTATTAATCCATGATAAATCTGTTATTCATTGCCAGTACAACCACGTCTGCTCACAAAGTTTTTTTTTTTTTTTGTCCTTCCCCAGTTTCTGCCTTAAATACACGTTAAAGTAATGTTTTACGTGACTTATTTGAAATGCTGAATCTGGCCACTGTTTTGTTAAGAAGTCAAGAATTTTTCAAGCTGTAAATTAAATGGAATTTAATTCTTAATATATTTTAATGTATTTGTATCCCTTCCCATCCACCCTAAATCTAAGAATTTGGAAACTTTATTGACGGTTCATAAAGGGTCACTGGCCAGGTAGGTTTTTTTTTTTTTTTTGACATCTGTGAAACTAAAGTACAGCATGAAGCTATATAGTGGCTTGAATACAAAAGATTAGGTGACTAGGAATTTTTCTAGGGTTAGGAAAAGGCTTACGCGGTGATTGGTTTGCTGGTGGTATTTATTCCATTTAAATTTAAAGGCCTCAAAGCCCACGCTTGGGGGCGACGTTGTGCACTTTCCAGCCACAGCTCGGTTTGACCCAATGAGAAGCAGTAGTCCACAGGAAACCCGCAGATTGACAGCACAGTAATCCAATCACTGGTGTCATAGTAGAAGCTGGATGATTTAGCAGCAAATGAAATGTGCGTCGTGTGGCTTTCTCCCCACCCCCCAGACATCCCTGACCAGTGCTCCCCATCGCCGTGTTGCGAGCGGGGGACTGTGCGCTGCGAGGACAAGAAGGGCAGCTTTGTTTGTCACTGCTTCACTGGATGGACCGGCGCCACCTGCGAGGAAGGTACCGGCTAACCCGCGAGCAGCCCAAACACACGCGCCCAGTCCAACAAGTTTACACACCCGTGCGAGAGTGACGTGTGCAATGACATTCGGGTGACATGGATGTCCTCCTCCTCCACATGCTCTTCTGATATTCATGTCCATGGGCGGCTCGATGTTATGAGTTCTGTTCCATCTTAAAGCGCGATTAAATATCAGGAGATTCTCATCTTCCGAAGGCAGGGAAGTTGGTGTATGAGTGTGTTTCGTTCAGTATGCTAACCATGATTGCTACTCATTTTACAGACCTTGTTTATGTATCACATGTCAGCATTGAGGTTTGGTCTGACCTAGTACCTCTTGTTTTTCTGTTTTTTGTCATGCGAGTGATATTTACTCCTAATAAAATAGTGAAATGAATTCAATTGGAGGACCAGCCTGTGGCAAAGCAGATGTGTCAATATGTTTTTGGAAACCATTGATTCAATTCTGAACTATGATCTATCAACAGCGGTCACTGCTGGCTACAGGGTTACAGTGACACCAACCTGTTTGCTCTAATCGTTTATATAAAATGGACTAATTTGTTGCAATGAGTTGCATTACTGTCCCCACCCCAGTCTAGCACCAAGGGTTGGGAGACATCTGCTTCCACTTGCTGGCCAATCGCAAGATCCGGCTCTTAACGCTCTCCTCTCATGATTGGCCGTCTGTGTCACGTGACCTATGTGCTTCCGGCAGACATAAATGAATGTGAGAACAAGAATGCTGGCTGCGAACACGGCTGCAACAACACCCTTGGGAGTTACCGCTGCTTCTGTCAGGATGGTTACGTGCTGGTTGACCGGCATATGTGTGCAGGTAGGTCTGGCAGCTTGTCCTGTGGACAGACTATGCAGTCTGTCTCATTATACAATTAGTGATTTTCATTTTTTATGACGTATCAGATGGTAACGGCTCTCATGGCCCCATTCCCAATGTCATAAGCATAAACATAATGAAATCACCTATAATGTCCAGCCAGAATTGAGTGAAACACCATACCGGTCTTGACCGGCTCAAAGCCGCGTCGATCAGCTTAACCAGAATGTTACGCCATGTAAACAAAAACTTCAAGCAAGGTAGTACCACTTCCTGGACGGGTCTGCCAACGGGAAGCAGGTTCCCCCGGTGTCCAAGCCAGCTGGTGTTCATTTCCTGCCATTTAACCTCTCAAATTCAATGAAGACAAGTATTAACAGAATGTGCTATCGACTGCGAGATCGGTGTGGTCTTTCTGGCATGGAAACCGTCCCCGCAAATGGTGCCAGTGGTATCGCTCCTCCCAACTAATGGACCGCCCCCTGTCCCACAGACGTGGATGAGTGTGCGGTCACCCCCGAGGTGTGTGGCACAGCACGGTGCGAGAACCTTCCCGGGGGCCACCAGTGCCTGTGCGAGGAGGGCTTCGTGTACGACGACGTGTCCAAGTCCTGCCTGGGTGAGTGTGCATCGCGTGGGCATACGCGTGCCACACGCAGGGCATACGCGTGCCACACGCAGGGCATACGCGTGCCACACGCAGGGCATACGCGTGCCACACGCAGGGCATATGCGTGCCACACGCAGGGCATACTGGCTTCTACAGACTGCGTGCACGTGGATGGGGTATGTTTCAGTCACTGCTATCCTAGTGGGGGTGTCTTCCCGATGTTTTGGACATGCACTGAGCTCACTAGGTCTGAATCCTGTCCCATAGAAACACCCAAGACACCAACCCCCATCCTCTCGTACATAAATCCTGGCCCTATTACCAGTGTGTCAAAAAGACACCAATACAGCATGAGATTTCTGGGAAGGTGGAAGGTGGTATTTGAATATTTGTAGTTAATAGCTCCTGCATGTCTGGGCCTGAATACCTCCATCCACACACCAATAATCGCACTGCTACGGAGTGGGATCTGGCTTCCTGTTGAGCGGGGGAGGTAGGCTTTCTTCGGAGGCTTGTTGGTCTCTGATCGTGTGACCTCCTCCCTCCCCTGGCAGATGTGGACGAGTGCGAGTCACCAGTGTGCTCCGGGGAGTGTGTGAACACACCGGGGGGGTTCAGCTGCTACTGTGATGGCCGACGGGGTCTGAGGCTGGCGCAGAACTGGAGCGCTTGCGAGGTGACCAGCCTGTCTGTGACCCCCCCCCCCCCCACAAACTGTTTTTATGAAATTCACTTTCCAATGATGAGCAGACCTAGCCCCCGCCATTCCTCCTTGCTCCCCCCCCATGCCTCTGAGCTCATTAATAACGGGAGACTTCACACTCACACCATTCTGATAACCATGCTGTTAAATCCAGTAACACTGATCAGCAGCGTTTTAAGCAGGTGAGGCCACTCTGTGATTTGATGGTGTATGATAACCCCTCCCACTGTGGCTCCACCCCCAGCCCATCGAACCTAGGCCCCTCCCTGGCCTTAAGAGGAACCCGCGCTCCCTTTACCTGGGCCGCATGTTTAGCGGTTCTCCCGTCATCCGCCTCCGCTTCCGGCGGAAAGTCCAGACCGGGTGAGAGTCGCTCCCAGATTACTCTGAGTTCCTGTGCAGCACCACCTAGAGGCGAGGCGCTGCGTCTGCATGCCACCATTCATGACGCCCGGCGCCTCCTGCGTTGCAGCTTCAGCGCCGAGTTCGACCTCAAGACCTATGATCCGGAGGGGGTCATTTTCTTTGCGGGGGGCCACCAGAACAGCTCGTGGATCGTGCTGGCCATGCATAACGGGAAGCTGGAGCTGCAGCTGAAGTACGGACCAGTGAGCCGGGTAACCAGCAGCGGGCCCGTGGTCAGCGATGGACAGTGGCACAAGGTGAGAAGCGCCACCCAGTGGTCAGATGTATAATTTGCCGTTTAGTTTTAAATAAGGTTAATCAGCCTTTGGGCTGTAGTCTAGTGTTAAAAGTATGTGCATAATTCATGTGTATATTGTGTTTAATGTTGTATAATACTGAGGCACACCCACCAAGACAAATTCCTTTATAACATTCTTGGCCAATAAATATCTTTTTGATTCTGATCCTGACATCTCTCCATGTTAGTGTTGTATGGAGATTGTCTGTCAGTAATGAATTAAAATGAGTAGAGTGTCTTGTTTCAGTTAATTTTATTTCTTTTTCTTTTCCCAGTTTTTGTATTATTCTGTTTTAATGATGCTGTTGTGAATCACAGCAGACCCATGTAAAGCAGCTTGGGGCGACTATGAAAGGCGCTATATAAAAATAAATTGAATTATCAAATGGCCTTTTATTCGCATTCACTGTAACCGAAGCGTGGAATCTTGACTTGTGGTTGGGACAGATCTCTGTGGAGGAGCAGGGCCGGAGCCTGGTGATCAAGATCGACCGGGAGGCTGTGATGAAGATCACGGTGAATGGGGATCTCTTCACGCTGAGGAAGGGCATGCACGAGCTCAACCTCACCGTCGGGGGGGTGCCGTTCAGAGAGGCCGGATTGCTGAGCAAGGTGAGCTTCGATCAGGGGGGGGCTTGTTTACACTGTAAACCAAGCGAGCCTGTGCCCCAGTCGCCATGGAAACACCATGTAAACTGGAGGGGGGGGGTGATGTCATCTTGGATCCTGATCCTGAATAAATAGACGTTTATAACAGACTTGGGAAAACAGAACAAGCCGTAACTGAGCCCATCGGTGCTGTAAACTCTCTGACCACTACAGGCGATGGAAAATGGTTTTGGCAGCTGATGTACAGCAAACCAAACTCTCCAGGAAGCACTCAAAGCACTCTGGGAGTTAGCTGTGATTATTTTTGGTTGTAGTCAAAGCACTTTAATCTCTTAGATCCTGGTAAATGCTGATCATGCTGCCTTTGTACAGAATAAGGTTTTAAAACCCTTGTTGCTGTCACCGCATGAGCGTTTATCAGTGGGGGCTGAACCCAGCCCTGGTGTCTCCACTAAGTACATGTAGGGTTAAGAATGAGCATTCAGTATGAAGGGTTGTATATCGGTGAAGCATGTCTTCTGTAAGGACATATGAGGTCGGTCAGTTCTGTAAGGACCTGCTCAGCTGGTCAGTGTAACGTCACGGTTGGGGACAAGCTGCTCATTGATTCTTAGTCTGGCCTACACAAAATTTCCAACGGGGGGGCAGTCCTTAGGGGGAGATTTTCACCACTAACACATCATACTTTCTCCCCCACACATATTCTTATTGAGGAAAAAAGGAATTGGTTGGGACAATTATATATTATTTCTTTACTGGATTTTAGACCTTTTCTGGGATCGAGTCTCTGGTGTGTTTCCCCCCCCCCTCAGCCTGAATGAAGGCAGTCTCGCACTTTTTCCATGTATTCAGTCTGGGATAGTTTGACAGTAAGTCTCAGGAAGACATGTAAGAAGAGACAGAGAGGACAGGACCTGGGTGTATTTAGAATTCAGGTCATGTCAGTTCAGATTATTTCCACTTTCTCATGAGGACACTCACCTAACGATTATTGAAAGTTAATTGCAGTCTTTTATACAGAGAGATGTTTGTCTCATGAGCTAACATTGCAAAGGGACCATAAGTGCTTACGCAGCGTCCTTAACCACTACGCCCTCTGCTGCCCAGGCCATGTATCCCAGCTTCTATGACACCTCCCTTCCCACCTGACCCGCAGATGAACCCCCGCCTGGACGGCTGCCTGCGGGAGTGGAGGTGGCTGACTGGTGAAGACTCCTCCATCCAGGAGACCATTCGCTCCAACGAGAAACTGCAGTGCTTCTCCACCGAGGACCGCGGCTCCTATTACCCCGGCAACGGCTTGGCACTCTTCAACCTCAGCTACGGTGGGTGGTGGGGGGGGGTTAGAATGCCCTTAGTTTCAGCAGAGTGTGTTACGGTCCAATTCCTGAGACCGGAAGGTTGCCAGTGTGAATCCCAGAGTCGGCAGTATGTTAAAAAAAACATTTTAAAGTGGAAAAAATTCTACTGTACTGAGGGGGAGTCCCCTGGTCAGCAAAATCTACCAAGGGGATACCACTCCCCACAAAATGGGAGTTGTGAATCCCAGGCACTTTTTTGGGGGGGTGTGGGCTGAAAAGTTTGGGACCCCTGACTCCAGGGGGCTGTCTGGCTCTGCTTTCTCAATTCTGTCACATTAGAAAAAAGCATCTTCTAATTAACGTATAAATAATAAGCATGGACCATACGTATCTGTTCTCATCCCTCTTTAAAGAGATGTCAGCTTTCCTGTAAGGATCTCCTGAAAACTGACTTAGAAGGAAAGCCTTTCAGAAGGTGCTAACAGCGTCGGCGTGAGCGAGTGGAGCGAAGAGCCCATGTGTGCGTGAGAGAACTTCGCTTTTGTTTTCCATTCATTGTGCCTCTGGTCCCACCTTCCCCAGCAGCGGATTCCCCAGTGCTGAGCATTCAGCTACACCTGCGACCCGCCTCCAGTCTGGGGCTTCTCCTCGCGCTCGTCCGGCTAGACAGTGTGCCCCTGTCGGTCTCCCTCTCCGACTACCATCCCGGGAAAAAACTGTGGCAAGAGGTGAGGCAGGCTTCCCTGGCCGGGTTTCTACATGTGTGTCCGTGCGGCGGTTAATGTCCCCCGTGTGTGTCCCCAGCATGTCCTTGTTGCCGTGGGTGACACAGTGGTGGCCAGCCTCCCGGCACAGCTGAGTGACTCGGTGAATGTGACCATCACGGGAGGTCTGGTCCACCTGGAGGTGGATGGACAAGCGGGTCAGGCTGAACCGGACCTGAACCAGAACATCGGTGACCTCTCCTCTCCGGTCGGCACCTTCCTTGGGGGAATACCAGGTGGGCTTAGACCTTTGGCACCCAGCAGCATGACAGTAAATCAGAAGCAACCCCGACTTGTAACCTAGAGCAGCGATTTTCAGCCCATGGGTCGTGACCCAAATTTGGGTCGTGGCAAGTTCTGAAAGGGTCACGAGGCAGAGTTGGAAATGTAAGCATTTAAAAACCAGCAAGCCCCTATACATCCACAATCAGATTTCCCAGCCCCAGTCCTAAAATTAACCTGTATAAACCGGTCTTGGGTCTGCAAATGCTTAGCGCAAAACTAATGAACACTCAACCAATCCAAAAAACCCAACCACAGACGCTTAATTTAAAATTCATTGACATATTTGATCAGATTTGTGCGATAGGCATTGATTGGTGTAAACTGCAGAGTGCACCGCGCGCCTGATCATAGCGTAAATTTACACCTATATACAGGGTCGCGACTGAGCTGGCATGGTAAAAATTGGGCCGAGGTACAAAAAGGTTGAGAACCACTGACCGAGAGGGTTTAAGTATAATGTAATAATTGCATGCAATAAGTGTCACAGGTACTATAATGGTTGACCTATGACCTTTCCACAGACATCCCCCTGGTGTCCACGCCCATCTCCGCGTATTACATGGGCTGCATGGACGTCACCATCAACGGGCAAATGTTGAACCTGGATGAAGCGACCCATAAGCACAACGACATCCGCTCTCACTCCTGCCCCCTGGTGGGGGCTCACCAGTAACCTGGTCTCACATGCGTGAGGCCCCCCTCTCTCTATCCACTGTTCATCCTACCCCATTATTCTGGGTGTTCCTTTGAGGTATGCATTTAAACCAGAGGTGCAGAGAAACATAGGGCGTGTATTTATATTGGCGAAACAACTTCACAGCCTATGGAGGAGTCCGCTGTAATATACTGAATATGTAAATACTGTACTATTCAATGCTTTAAAAAAAATAGGACTTACCTTCAATGAATTTGGCTTTAAGTCTGACAGGGGTACATAATAAGTCACTAACACATAAATTGTATATTTTCACTTATGATTCTGTTTTAGTCACTGTCAACAACATTTTTCATATTTAAGACTTTTTTTTTAATCTTTGTGTTGTATATTTTAAACAATGTTTGTCCTGATGAGAATCCTTGCCCCCCCTCCCAAAAATGCCAAAATGAAACGCTATTAAAAATAAAGATGGTTAACAGGCAGGTCTCTCGCCCAGTCCTTCCCACTCATTACTGGCTCGCCCAGTCCTTCCCACTCATTACTGGTATTCTTTCGGAAGTATAGCTAGTTATTAAACACACCTACCAGAAGCAACTGGTTAACCATGCATAGACAACCCAGTAAATTGCAGTCCATTTCCTAAAGTTTAAGCACTCATAATATTTATACTATTTCAGCTTTACAACTGCAAGAATTACAACGCTACATATGTGTGTGATTTGCTGAAACCGCTTAACACAGTAAAAGGTACTTTAGCTCTCACTTCAGGTTTCGGACACAAGGAGCAGATTCGGTTCTGGGGTTGAAAAATCTTTCACATCAGGAAGCCAGTGAACAGGTTAAGATTATACGTTTGGAGAACTCTAGATTCTGCTGAAAAGTCGGTCGTGCTCTCAAGTGTCCCGTTCTAATTAAATCACCCGCTTCAGAGATGAAGGCCGAGCTTTGACTCGTCTTATGGCTGTAGTGAGTCTAAGCGTGAGATATTTTAAATGTGCTGTTTATACTGATACCTTGAGGTGCATACGAGGCCGGCGAGTCATGTGAGGTGGCCTTGGAACCCGTCCCACGTCGCGTGAGACCTAGGGGAGGGTGTCCCAGGTGTGACGTGGGGTCGGGGGCCCCCCCCCGCCCCCGCACATGATACATACGGGTTCTCCGTCTTGCAGACAGGCAATGGGGCTGAGTTCTGTCGGGGGTGGTTCTCCCCAGGTGTACAGGCCCTTGGCTCAGCAGGCGTACGGAGGTGGCTTCTCACACCCCCCGTATGGCGTCCCGATGTAGGCAGGGGTGCTGGGGGTCAGCGTGTAGCTGGAAGAGGCTTGTGACGGGGGCTGGGACGGAACCTGGGAGGGGGGCTGGCTGTCCTCCGAGGGGGATGTGGGGCCGTCCTGGCCCAGCGGTGTCGCTGCCGGTGCTGCTGGGGGCGGCTGGTACACGCTGTGGTGCTGCAGGAGGCAGAGATGGAATATTCTATGGGTCGGATGGAAGGGAAAAGTGGGAACCTCGGACGGACCGGTAGTACAGCTGAAATGGAAATCCCAAATCTATCGGGTGTGATCCTGGGATGCTGCAGTGCTTCAAGTTTACGACATTTGGACTTTACGATGGGTATATAATTATTCAATAAATTACATGATATACAATACTTTCTAATAAAGTAGGCTTTGTGTTAATGATTTTGTCCATCTGTAGTGCGTAAGTGTTCTAAGCATGTTTAAGGTAGCCTAGGCTAAGCTATGATGTTTGTTAGTTTATGTGTCTATTAAAATGCATTTTTGCCTTGCGATAATTTCATCGAAACGTAACCCCATCGTAACCCAGGGACATTTTTTTAAATTATTTTTTTCATTAGACAGGTTAATTGGTTTGATTGTAAGATTTAAGATCTTTATTGTCCTTGTGCAACAGGAGCACTGCAATGCTTAGTCATTCAGCAGCATTCGGTTACGAAAAACTCTAAAGACAGGGTAAGACAATACAGACCCTGCAGAGCAATATAAGACCGTCCAAAACTGGACGACATGCAGTCAGTGGCTGATAAAGTGCAGTAACACGTCTATAAAATGCATGTGGCGTGGATGAGACTATCAGGAGAAACATGGATGTTGGAAATGTGCATAGCTTGGAGAAAGAACCTGTTCCTGAATCTGATAGTCAATGTTCAGATGCTGCGAGACCTCCTACCAGACTGCGGGGGTGTGAGGAGTTCATGGCTGGGGTAGCCAGGGCCATGATTTATAGACTAAACGTTGTTATGGCCCCCTGCAGTGCGGACAAACTTATCGGTTTGAGTTTCACTGCCCCCCTGTGGGGTCATGAGGTATGACTCATTGCCCCCCAAAGAGTCCATGGGGGGTTGATGCAGGATGCGAGGCGACCATGCATGGGGAAGAGACATGCTCCATTTTAGCTTTAGAGCCTTAGAGAGGGTGACGAGGTCGTGGGAGGCAGATGACGTACCTGCAGCGGTAGGGGGTAATTGGGGTAGGACGGCAGTGCCTGGGTGGAGGGGCAGAATCCGGCGTACGTCAGCACGTGCTGCGTGGGGTTGTACAGGATGTGGGGCGGCGGCACAGGACTGGGACATGTCTGGGGGGTCGAATTCTGAGAGGAAAAGCACACGTCACAAGACAGGAGAGATGGCGATAATCAACAGTGCCGACCTACTGGCCCAAATGCCCCCCACCCATCTGAAGAGAAACAGGGAGGGGGACCAAGAGGCCTTTAGCATGATTTAGGACAGAAAAGTCAGTATTTGGTTACATTACTTGACACTAGAGGAAAACATTCAGTGTGTCATAAACACCATATACAGTGTTTTGAGGCATGGAACAGCACAGGGTTCAGTGTGTGCGTGTGTGTTGTGCAATCCCCTGTTAAACCCCTCCCCCGCAACCCGAGGAAAGAGGAGGATGGGTGGTGACAAGCTACAGCTAGCCGAAACGCTAATGCTGCGATAAGTGAAGCATGCTTCGCCCCAGCACACAGATAAATTTGAAAACCCATTAACAGGCAAAACTTTGCGGCAACAGCTGTAAATCTGCTTTTACACAGACAGTGAAGAGGCTGCTATGTGATCATTTACTGCCAGGCGATGCATCACGCTGCTTAACTGGCCCGTGAAAAAATAATTTGCTCTGACGATAAAAACTAAGTCAGGATTATGAGAAATGGGCGTTTTTGAAAAAGCTAGTCACAGAGCACTAGGACAAATTAAATTGGAATTTGAAGTTGAATTTGACACCAACGAGTCAACATTATAAGTATAGATTTGGCATTGGATGGTATATGGAGATCCGATTTTCAGGAAATCTGTTCTTACTATTATCCATGGATGTATGATTTTTATTTTTCCCCAGAATGTTTTAACAAGATGATATACACTATATGGACAAAAGTATTGGGGCACCTGACCATTAAACCTACAGGAACTTGTATGACATCCCATTGTAAATCCACTGGCATTAATATGGAGCTGGTCTCCCCTTTGCAGCTATAACAGCCTCCACTCTTCTGGAAAGGCTTTGCAGAAGTTTTTCGAGGATGTCTGTGCAGAAGAGCATTTGTGAGGTCAGGCACTGATGTTGGACGTGAAGGCCTGGCTCACAATCTTCATACTAGTTCATCCCAAAATTTGTTTGATGGGATTGAGGTCAGGGTTCTCTGTGGGCCAGTCAAGTTCTTCCACACCAAACTCATCCATCCATGTCTTTATGGACCTTGCTTTGTGCACTGGGGCACAGTCATGCTGGAACAGAAAAGGGCCTCCCCCAGACTGTTCCCACAAAGCTGGAAGCATAGAATTGCCCAAAATGTTACGGTATGCTGAAACATGAAAAGTTCCCTTCACTGGAACTAAGGGGCCTAGCCCAACCTCTGAAAAACAACCCCATACCATTATCCCTCCTCCACCAAACTTTACAGTTGGCACAACGCAATCAAGCAGGTAACATTCTCCTGGTATCTACCAATCCCAGACTCATCCATCAGACTGCCATACAGAGAGATGTGATTCATCGCTCCACAGAACACGTTTCCACTGCTCCAGGGTCCAGTGGCATCGTGCTTTACACCACTCCATCCGACGCTTGGCATCGTGCTCGGTGATCTGAGGCTTGCATGCAGCTGCTCAGCCATGGAAGCCAAACTCCATTAGTCAAGAGAGCAGTGACGACTTTTACACACTATTCGCTTCAGCACTCAGTGACCCCCCACGTAACTTTATGTGGTCCTCCACATTGTACCTGAGATTCTGCTGATCCTAAACGCTACCACTTTGCAATAATACCACTTACAGTTGACTGTGGAATAACTAGCAAGAAAGAAATTTCACAAACTAATTTATTGCAAAGGTGTGCAAGGCACGATACCACAATAGTACCACGCTCAGAATCACTGAGCTCTTCAGAATGACCCATTCTTTCACAAATATTTGTAAACCTGACTGGTTGGGTAAGTGCTTGATTTTATACACCTGTGGCAATGGGTCTGAATGAAACCCCTCAATTCAATGATTAAGAGGTGTGTCCCAATACTTTTGTCCATATGATGTATTCAACTAGCAGCATACCCCCCCAAAAAAATATATTGAAATTATTTTGTGATAACATGGGAAAGGTATGGATAATAATACACGATTAATATGAGTATAAGTAAATAAAGGTAGAAACACTTTCTGGGAGAAAACAGAAGTGGATGTTCTGAGTTTGAGGTTTATATGGCCAAGTGACCACAGCTGTGTGCATTGGGCAGATGCCCACGGGGGCCCTAGAGGGGGGTGTGTGAGGGCGGCAGCTGTAGCACCCACCTGCAGCACGATGTCCTTAAAGGCCCCCAGGATGGCGGCTGTGACGATGCCCAGGAAAACGCTGAGGACATTGAGCACGACAGAGGCCCAGAGCAGGCGGTACAGGTGCATCACGTCCCAGCAGCTGCTCACGCCCGTGTACTCATAGTACTGTGAGTGGTACTCACTGTGGGGGGAAGAGAGAGCCCCCCTAAGCTGGCACCCAAACCACAGGCCTGCAGCACTAACCACACTTAAAAAAACACTTACATTACATCTTTCTTACTTAGCAGAACCTTTTATCTAAAGTGACATACATTTCCGAGAAAGCAGGGTCAGCTTGTCCCTGGAGCAATTTGGGGGGGGGAGGTTAAGGGCCTTGCTCAAGGACCCAAAAGTGACATCACTCTGCTGACCCTGAGATCTGAGCCACCGACCTTCCGATCAGAAGCAGAGTGTCCTAACCCACTGAGCCATACTCTCCCCCGTTCTGACACTTAGCTAAACTCAGCCAAAGTAAAGTTATTTTTAAGATAGTGCTTGACTGATATGGAATTCTCTTTTTCCTGTGCTCATGTGATTTCTTTATCATATTCTTAATACCACTGGCCTGTTCTGGTTTTTAGTTTTGTTATGCTGTTGTCTTACCGACAATGGCTTCTCATTTTAGGCAATTTTTAAAATATGTAATACATATCTTGAAATGTGATATATTCTGACCAAAATAGCACAAAACCAAATCAAAACAGACCAAATCACAGTTACGCCATTTTTGTTTTGCTTCAAATGCAATTTGAAATTTCCAGAACACGCAGAAATCAATTGTCCCGTAAACTGAGAACCCGCTGTTTTTTTTTTTTTGTCTGGCCCCCTGACCAGCCTTTTACACAAACACCACATGCCCTCAGAGCAAAGAGCAGCTGCTCCAGCTGGTCAAACTCACAAACGCAGCAGCCAAAGATATTTTGACGTCAGCTGGCCAGACAAGCTCACTGCGTCTGTAGGGCAGTTGTTTAACTGCCTGGGCATCTGTACACCTGCTCCCGCCCACCACCCGCCTCACCTGCCGCAGCTGTGCAGGTCACAGCAATAACAGGTGTTGCTCTTTATCCTGACCTTACACTTGCTGTTGTAGGAGTAGCACGTCACCTGTAGGAGGCGAGAGCGAGAGGGACAAGGGGTGGGGATTCCAGCAGCTTTAATATTCCAGATAGCTTCATATAAACCGGTCGCAGCCTGCTAAACAAACGTTATCAGAAACAATGATTAGTACAGCACTGCTTTTCAGTTTCACAGTGCGGCAGATTTTTTCCACAACATTGACAGTATGGCTGCTAGGTCAAATCCCTGGATTTGAGGACGGTGTGGCGGCATGAAGTAATGATTAAAGCCCACAGCGCATGTGTTTTGGATAATGCCAGCATAGTGGGATTATAAAGCGCCCTCAAAATGAGAACAGAATTTGCTGGGAATGGAATGGCTACAATGACAAAAGCCTCGGAGTCCACCAGGGGGCAGCAGCCTGCCCTAAAGAACTGCAGGCCACTGCCAGTATGCTAAACGCAATCAGGGCCACTAGACCAAGGAGGGAAAAAGAGCCATGGCAGACAATTCCCTGTTTTTATTACCCGATATATTGTTTTTGGAAAGAGACATACAGATCTTTATACACACTATAACTCTTATGTCTCATAAATTAAAAATGAATCTGGTATTTTGAAATCAATAAAGTTATTTAGTTTTATGCTTCGTATAAGACTTATTTGTGTAGTTCTAACTATTAAAACCACCAGCTCGTATTACAGAAAGAAAAAAAAATCCATAATAATACCTCAGTATCCAACCAATAATGGTAATACTCAGATACAAAGTCATTCCAGCCAAGGAAATAATGAAGAAATCTTTAATTAAACAGCTGACAAAATTAACTAAGGTGTCTATTAGACATTAGGAGACGCTCATGGTTCACCAGCCTCAGGCCAACACGTATCTCCATTTGGAATTACAGCGGAGAGAAATGTTACGTCAGAATGATCCACTCGGGGGGGGGGAAGAACTTTCAGTGAAAGACTCACAACTCTGAATGTTCAATTCTTATAGTGCCATATGGTGATGATGATGATGGAAAAATAATAATAATAATAATAATAATAATAATAATAATAATAATAATAATATTTAGGCAATTCCTTCCAAGCCCCCTAATCCTAATCCATTCCTCATTAAAATTTACTGAAATGATGGTCTTTCTACCATTTGCACAAGTTCAGGTACATTGGAACACTTCTTTTTGCAAATCCCTTCTTGCTCCCCTTTCAGGCATGCATACACACACACACACACACACACACACACACACACACACACACACACTCTGCTGGGGGGCTGAGCACAGGGTCCCCGGGGCATTTTGGGGGTACAGTTAAGGACTTTGCTAAAGGACCTGTTGGGGATGAGATTATGCTGCCAAGGATTGGATTTGGACCCTCTGAGTCACACACTGCCCCCCCCCCCCCAGCAGTGAAATCACTCAGCTGATCACTATCCTTCAGGACACTAATTTCTTGATCAAACAAGTTGAATTTCAGAATAAATATACCGGACTGCTGTTCCCCCAGCAAAAATAAAAAACCTTTTTAAACAAAACATAATTACCCTCAAATGCTCAGCACATACAGCTGAGGGAAAATTCAGCACCAAAAGTCACACTAAATGAAAGCATCTGCTTTTTACAGAGAAAACTTAACATTATAGCTATCAGGACTTTTTTGACCCCAAAAGATCAATCGCTTTAGCAACGTTTTACATCTCTGCTTAATATATTTCATCTCTCTAATAAATTCATTGATAAATCCTTCACCTTCTTTATTTAGATCATGTAGCTAAATCATTGATTGGATAACGGCTCTGGGACAGCCAATCTTACATTCACACCCTTGTTTCAGCACTGAGCGAGCAGTGAGAATGGAAGCACTGGGACCCGATTCAGACATAAGCTGCTTGTCCCCGTGGAGATTACGTCCAGCCCCTGATCCTTATCGGGAGCTTTATCGTAAACAGGGAAGGGGGAGCAGATGGATTCTGCTAGTGTCTTTTAAACAGAAGAAGCATGATTCTGCTTTCAGGAACTGCAGCAGCAAGTCATTCTTTCAAGCTGAAAAAACCAGTAAGTTAAACTGTCTGAAAAAGTAAACAAATATTATTTTGACCATTATGCCTTAATTGGCTTCGGTATTATGTGGTCATCCCAGTGGGAAAGTGATAACACTTTGGGTAAATCAATATCATAAATCAAAATCATATCACTTAGGGTCATATACCCTCCACAGCATCCACACTCATTGCTTTAAATAAATTATATTGGTTGCCTGTGAGATTTTTCAACACCCAACAGGAGATGTGGTAACAATCCCCATTAATGCCAATGTCAGACTTACCTCTGTGTGATAGGTGTCATACGACTGTCCTTGCCCATTGCCATAGAACTCACACCTTCCCTCCATTAGGGGTCTTTTGTCCTGAGCAGAGGCAAAGAGAAAGAGGTAGTCATACTTTAATTCGGCAGAGTGAATCTGTTGGTTGCCCTCTGTTGGCTGCTAATGGTACTGCCCATTATAAGTGGAAAGACTGTCAGAAATTTAGCGAAACAGTATCATTAGCATGATGTTGCTGCGAATGTTACAGAAGAATTAACTACTCTTGCTGTCATTTATTCCCATTGATATACAAATGCTGTCTCATGAATGGGTGTATACATGAGTGGGGCCACAGGGGCTCTAGCCCCAGCTGAAATCTGATTGGCCACCAGAGTGTTCCTCCGCTGTCACTCACTGATTCAACACATGTCATTGGCTAATAAGATTAACCCTTCTGTATGAATTATGAGCCCTCTTATGTGCCCCACCACTGTCCATCGGCACTAGCCAGCTATAGCGCCGAAACCTCAGAATGGGGCCGCTGATCTCATCACAAACGGAATGGATGCCGGTCCCAACCCGGCAGCTCACAGAGGAGAGCTCCTCATCCTCACGGGAAAGCAGCCAGAGCCTCCGCTGTGAGCCGCACAATCACACGTATCGTAAATCAGCCGCGGCCGTGATTTAGGGTCGTGGATTGTTTATGATATTTTACAGCTTGTGGGGAAAGGAGATAAGGGAGGTAATGGATTATTTAATTGGTTTATTCTGTTTGCCGGTCCCTCCACCATCTATGAAACCAAATCCCTTCAAATCACAGATCCTATAGAAGGTTGTAACCTGGCCAAACAGTAACCGGGGAAGGGGGGGGGGGGTTGGTGACAATCACGGCGTGAGTGATGTGCATTAAACCAATGGAGATCTTCTATTTCAGTTTCCAATTGGCTGTTGATCTCAATGATGGTCGCAAGACCATGAAGAAAAGGTGGAGAAAGAGACGTGGAGATATTGGTCAACCAACATGAACAGACAGCTGTCTGGTGGTCAGACACTCCGCCGCTCCTTGCCGTGTAAGTGGCCCTTCTGGCAACCCCATGAAGGGACACTACTCACGATGAACTTTGCAGCGATGATCCCATCCACGATGGCGCAGAAGAAGGAGGTGATCACTCCCAGGCTGACGAAGATGATAGACGCCACGAGCTGGACGAGAAACACTCGTTTATTTAGCTCATTTTAAAAACGAAACCCAAAGAACGAAATAGATTAAATACAGCAGTAAAGTCACTCCAAGGGCTGGAAAATAATTCCGCAGCCCAGGAAGGTGACAGACACAGGCTCTCTCCGATCCATTTCTGCTGACTCATACATTCTTCCTGTAATTGGGTGTGACCTCAAACATCACCTAACACAATGTGTCCCGTTGAAGTCTACAGTCGCTATAAAAGAAATAAGTCAGTTCAGTCCTAAACAGATATAAACTGAGAAACTGAACTGCCAACTTCAGCATCAGGCTCAGGCCTATAAATCGTGGTACGGATGGTTGGATCCAGGGAGCCGGCTAACTAGCTGCCCAACAGGGAGGCAGAAGAAGGTGCAGAGTATGGCACAGGAAGGGTACGGGCATAAGGTGACCGGCCAAAACAGTCAAGGTGGAGTTAAGGGTCTGGCGTGCGAGAGCTCGGCTGAGAGGAGCGCCATCGTGCCAGTGCCCCTAACCCTCAGATCACGTTGCTGCCGAGTGGGAAAGTAAAACCACAGCTGTTCTTTCAATGGGGAGGAAGGGTGTGTGTAAGTGTCATTTATAGCCCTGAAGAGGCAGGGGAGGGGGAGCCGAACATACACTGAAACAATTTCATTTCACCACGCCGAGAGAACATCACCAAAACATAACCTACAAATGTAAGACACAATAACGCATGTTGCATTTAGTCCAAAGTAGCCGAACTCATTAATGAAATGAAATAAATCTTTATTATCATCATACGAAGTACGATGAAATTGGATGCAGTCCCTTCAGTACAAATTCGACATAATTAAATAAATAAATAATAAAAGTGTTTAAATACAGAAATAAAATTAAGCTTAATTGAAATGATTAAATCGATCAGGTTATAAATTAACCAGGCTAAGCAAAAAAAAAAGCTTTAAGCACTTGTGTAAATGAAAAATTTTAGAAAATAATCAGGAATAATGATCGGACAGATGCAAAACTTCCACATTTCTGAATATCTGTGCTAATCATAGGGATGTGGATATCTATGAAGGCCTCCGTTGGACTCTTCGGTAACAGAACTCTTTTCTTATGATTTAGAGCAGGTCCTCCCCACCCCATTCCCCTTGGCGCGTGCAGACAGCAGATAGCAGCTGCAGCGACGATCATCCTTCCTGAGCCAAAGGTCCAGATGGGTCCTCTAATATGTCATCGCTGACGGCTTGTAAGCCCCCCCAACTGCCGCATTTACTGCCCCATAATATTTCTCTAACGCCACCAAAGCAAAAGAATAACCTTCTGTTCCACGAAACCAGGAATTTTACTCCCAGACTAATGAATAGGATTATATGCCCCTATTTATACAAATCCAATGGAAACACAATCAAGAGGGAAAAAAAATTAACATCATGTATGGTCCTCTGAAGCATCACAAGCCCAATTAAAGAATGATGCAGACCACCAGCAGCACCACCAGAAAGCAGAGAGAGGAAGCAAGTGCCTTCTGTATCACAATTATGTCCAAACCACTCTAGAGTGACCTTTAGTCAATGTCACCCTTTGTCTACTACCTGTACAAGGTTGGAGAGGTCTAATATTCATCTTTAATGGAACAAACAATCACCAACATATACCGGGTTGTTCTCTTTCCACTGCAATGCACACCTGCCTTTAAATCGCACTAGGAATATCAATTAAATCCAATGCAGGGTCATTATCAGGCCAGAGTAATCAAGCCCTGCAAACTGCTATAACTACAGGGCCAAAGTAATCAAATCCCAAGTGCCCAAGTGACAGATATGGATCCTGGCAGTAATGACTCCAGTTACTGAGCCTCCTCTCCTCACCAGTACGTCTCTAAGCCCATTAATATAAACGAGCAGTTTAAACGACCGCGACTTAATGCGATGCCACTGCAGTGGTGATGATGTCACAGACAATGGGCTTTGACAGCAGTATTAGTCCACATGATCAGAGCGCCAGAGGCTCGCTCATAAAGAGCCCCTCCTCTCCAGGTCTGCTCACCACCCCCTATGAGGAGGACGATCCATAACCTTATGCAGACCACCCGCCCTGTCTCAAGGACGCACGGAGTGGAAGCTTCCAGCGATCGATGGCAACATTGAAGAGTGACTGCGGTTAAGCATGGAGGAGCCAGTCTTTGGACAAAAAAAATGAGGCCAGAGAGGTCACACGGTGCAGGAAGAGAGTGACTGCGAGAACGAGCACAGGTCTAAGAAAGACGACGAGATGTCCTGCAAGGACCAGTCCTGGCATGATATTTGAGGTAGGACAAAACCTTTTTTCACTGGATCAGTTACCCAATATGGCCATCCCATGTCCATTTACCAGGTAACCTCAGTACACAGAACTGATCAACCTTTTTCCAAGTAATCGATCTAGCTTGGACCATGGTGAAGTCTTTCCATTTCTTAAAATGTGACACTTCCTGTCTCCTGAGGAGAGGTCAAAGTTCACCAAGCCAGGCAAGCAACAGGAAGTGAAACTCGAGAGCAGCTGTACACCATGCGTGCACACACAATATCGGTTACTGGCATACCGCTGCGTGACTCTGGCCGTCTCCTATCGGTTTCAGGCCGACAGCAAGCAGAAGACGAGAAAAGAGAGGGAAGAAAAGAGGAGACAGAAGACGGAGGGTGGAATCAAAACCAGCTTCATTACAGTTACTGTGGCCAACAGCCCGATGATTAAAATTTGAAAGTGGGGACCGGGAACGGTGACCGAGTCGGGTGAACACACCCCCCTCTAAATCAAGTGGTGTCGGACCCCTCGCTTGCCACTTCAGCCCGTCGCCATAGGAACCACTCCTCCCGCAGAGCCATGATCCACCCTGGATTCGGCAGATGCCACACTCAGAGTGCAGATTCAATTATGCCGTATTCAACATCCCAAAAAGCCAAGCTTAACAGCACCACTCCCCCAGGACCAGAAAATTGAACAGTTTTATTAAATCAAAATTATAGCAGAAAAGCCAATTTTACTTAATTTTTTAAAATAACATCTCTTATTTAAAGACTGCCAAATATTGACGTAAAACCTTTAGGATCTATGACAATAAGTGAGCATTTATCATCCTTGCTTGATGACACCATACAAATATCATCTTTTTGACAAACTGACAAACACAAAGGCTACTGCATCAGCCTACACACATGCGTTTGAGATCTCAGACCTCACAATGTAAATTATAGAGAAACAAGGTCCCCCCTAATGGCGAGGACAGTAGGGGAGGAGATGTGGTTACACTGGGGACCCGGGATAATCATGGCAGGCCTGGCAGAGCCTGTAAATAGATAATGAACATTCACCTGATCCCAGGCGTGTCAGACGTTAAAATAAATAAATAAAATGTCACAGGTATGCGCAAGTCAGGAAGGTTCCTGTCTAGTTCAGTCCTGGACAGGATTTCCCAGGTGTCCCCTTGTCCTTGTATTTCAGAATAATCTCACATTGATCTATTTCCACACCATTACATATATTTTAATACAATGTATATTGACAATAGACTATGCAGCCAAATTATGAGTAGGATTTTAGCATCGCAGGAACAGCATTAGGGACACCAAATCCAATCAACTTCCAGTTTGGGTACCAGGAACAGCATTAGACTGCAGGTCGCTATGCCACTGGGACATCAGGCACACATTATTGGTTGAAAAATGTTCTGGCTGTCAATGCTTATCCAATTGCTGTTCTTCTTCTGCTGTGTACACAGCCAATCGGACGCTTTCACCTGAGCAAGCGTTCGAACGCACAACATTTAACAGCGAAAGGCTACTTATGGACAGTAAGCAAGTGGTGCTTTTCCTTGGATGCTGGGTTTACTGACTGGCAAACAAACCAGAATATAATTCCTGACTTTTTGCGATTTTTTTATTATTATTATTTTTTATTATTTGATAATTTATCAATACTGATTACTCCTGAACTTGCTTTAGATTATTCAGACCTTTAATTACATAATTGTAAGTCACAAGGAGACCAAAAAAATGCAACAAATTGTTGCATGAACTAACCTTCTTCCACATCAATATAACGTGATGACTTAGCTCTGAGGGAAATGGCTTTGTTGTCATTTATCAGCGGCTCTAATATTCCTGTCACAGGTTCAGAGAACAGTGTGGAAAAACTAGCTGGATAAGCAGTAAATATCCAGTCTTCAGCCACTGCAGAAAGACCACATATTCAGACAGTTTGAGAACAGGGTTTCATTAAGAAGGTGTACAGCTCACCATGGGTCTGCGGTTCTCCACCAAGTTAATGCCCACGAGCCCAAGAAAGGCCCCAAAGCTTAGCTGGAAGCAAGGAACCAGAATAAGGAGTTAGAACCAGGACACCTGCTATCCTTAACTGACAATAATAGCATGTGTAGAACACCCTGGTCATAGATAAGACTGAGCACATGGCCATACTGTAAGATATATTTGCTCTGCTGAAATACTGAATAATTGTGTCAACAAATATCAATGCAGTAAAATAGGCAAGGGATATATATATAGTCCATAGGCTTCATTGGGTGTTTAGCCGATATGTACAGTGGAAATTCATAAAATAAGGATTTTTTAATTCCTCACGGATGCAGAAGTGTGTAAGTGTAAAGGGCTGCAGTAGGATGATGGAGGCGAGCTCACAATGATCCCAGGGTAGTACCCAGCGACGGGCACGTTGCCGGTGCGGGTCGCGGACACCAGGCCCACCACCAGGATGACCACGGAGAGGGAGAGTAGAGAGACCGTGTACCAAAGCGCCGTACGCCGCCTCTTCGCGAACTGCTCTGTGGAAAGACAAACTGCCGCAAGGCGGTGAGAGATTACCGCTGTACTCCTGCAGTTTTGCGCAAAGACAGTAAGCATCTGCGCCGCAGTGACTCAAAGCACTCACACATGGAGGAAATGACTGAAAAACAGAATTAAGAGCATTCATGGATGTAGGCCTGTTTAAAAATGCATGGGAAGACAGACTGATAAGTACTCTTAGTATTCTTTCTAGAATCACACACGCCATTTAGCTAATGATTAATCTGTAGTTGTGGGCACATGTCGTTATTCAAACATCTTAGGTCGAATTAGATTACTCGCACAAGCGGATACAGACTCCAGCCGACAACATTGTTTCGTTACTGTGGAGGGAGTCTGACCAGTAACACCGAGGAAACTAATTATAACGTCCGAAACACAGGATGGGTGCGATTTCTCTGCTGCCAGTCACCTGTTACCGAGGTCCGTTACCATGGGCTTCGGTAGGTCCGATCACCCGTGGATAAAGCCCCGAGTATTTTAGCCCCGATGCCAATTATCCTCCTTTAAAAACAAAAAAGTCAAGCCCCAGGTAAACTTAACTTGGCCCCTGATCTTTTCAACAGCTAGAAACTCCCATGGCCGTTAAAAATATTCAATAATCGTATTTACACTATCAGTTTTTACTTATATAGAGCCATTTTAGAGTGAGAACAAAACACAGTCCCACATTAATTTTGTACCTCTGGTTCCACAACCAATGAATTGAATTAAAAAATAGCAGTTTAAACAACTCAAATGGCATCCAAAACCAGAATAAAATAACCATTTAAAATGCCAATTTAAAATTTTAAAAGTCCCCTTCGATTGATCAGAAGACTTCCCACTGCCCTTCGTATCCATAACAGACCAGTGTGCTTAGCTCGATCTTCGTTATCATAAAAAACTACTAGAATTGTAAGTGATAAACCTGTTGACAGGTAGCCGGAGCAGGGAATGTGTAGCTGGGCAGCGGAGAAACGGCAGCGAGCGTCTCCGCCTTCGTGGTTCAGCGCGTCACCGAATAACCGAAGCAGAAAGTCGCACATAGGTTAAATACTTATGAGTTTTTTGTTTTGTTGTTATACTATGTGGACTACACAATACCAATTTACAAAATATATCTTAAACAAAGGTCCAGTATGGGATTTCAACATACTTAAAACAGGATCAATGTTTCATTAAGGCCGGAGTAGCCTGAATTCGTTAGATAATGAATTTCTTATGAAGAGCGCAGTCTGCAATATAGAGCTCACACCACAACAGTCCTCTTACTGATCCTTAGCACATTTAGCCTACTATAAAACCTTATAGCAGCAGCAGAACAGGATCATAATTACTGCGAATAGTTAGCTACTATCCTGTTAAGTTGCAGTAATATATATTGTGTCGGTAACGCAAGATGTCAACGCATATTTCATAATTCACATAAAGGTAGGCTAATACTCACGTTTAATCTTATTATTTATCACACTTTTGACTGAAATAAGAAATATTGTTTAAACACTCTATATTAAGCTACATATAAAATCTATTTTTAAAACAATACACTATGGCAGAATAAAACAAACTGGAGCAATTTTACCTGAAGGATCCGGAGCAGCCGGGGCTGGAGTAACCGCGGGTTGTTGCATCTTTACCGTCGGTTTTTCCCTTTTCTTTCTTTTTTTAAACAAATAGGCTTTAATATGCCGCTCAGACAACTGCCGTTCCCAATTACCCGTAAAAAAAATCTGGTGTATTTTTTTTCTGACAAAAGTCGGAGCAGCAAAAGCGAAATGAAAAGCGAAGTTGATTCCACGATCCCTCAAACCATCGCCAGGTTTACAGGTGCGACTTCTCTCAGTAATAACCGCATCCTGCTTCCCACTAACAGCTGTCACCGGCCGGGTGAATGCGCTCCGCTGCCCGCCGCTGCTCCCCGTTAAACCACGAACATATCCGGATGCAACTGGGCATCTAATGAGGCTGTTTGATGAAACACCGCAACTAAGAACCTATTGAGGGATCTTTTACTTTGGACACCGCAGGCACTCGGCTCAAATGATCCGGAAAGCTCAAATGATCCAAAAACTCAAAGGTGGGCGGCCAATAAGGGGCAGAGCTGGGGAGTATTAGGCTTCATAGGCGCTTGTTAGGTTGATTTACAGCAATCGATACATTTGTTATAAAACAGAGACCTTTAGATACAATACCTTCAATTTTATTGAAGCCCAGAAGTAAAAAGGCTGAACTGGATCAGTCCTGGTGCTTGCGGTTCCTGCCCTGCTGAACTGATAATTAGGCAAGATTCACGTATCATTATCAAGTCAAATTACGGAATACCCATATTCAACTGCTCAGTGAAGGATACACACAAAGGTATTTTTATTGAAAAACATGTAATACTATTCCAGATAAATTGCAGCATCACCTTTCCCTTTCGAAACTGCATAGAACATTGCAACCAGTACAGTATAAATGATTATATCAGGAAAAATACTATCCCAGGCAATGAACACCTGAAGAATACAACCAAAAATAACCTGCGTGACTGTAGACTAAATATCCTCCTAGAATTTAAAATGGAAAATAAATATTTTCCTCTTATTGCACTCTGAGATTTAACAGCATATCTACAAACAAGCCGTTTAGTGTATGAATTTCCACAGCTCACAATGTCTAGGCTGCATAACAAAAGTAACGTTTGATGCTTAATCCCCAAAAAATCTTTTGAGATTGTAGCGTCTATTCTATCCTCATTTAGATAAATCCACACTTTTTTCCTGATAATACGCGAATCACAAGTCACAGTCTTGCAGATAAGCAAGTAAAATAAGGATTCTTGGTTCCTGGCGCTCCCATTTACTTGAGAAACGACTGCATGAAATGCCTTCATTGTTAAGCAGTACGGGCAGACGCTACATACAAACTTCTGTAACTTATTGTTAACCCAAACCATGGCAAACCACGACCTTTAGAAGCTGGGCACAGGCACCTGTTAGTTACACAGTTCAGAAATGTGTCCAGTGCCAGTCAGCCCATCTGGCGACATAAGCGGTCGCCTAGGGCGTCATCTTCTGAGGGGGCGCCGATTTCACTTTGTCTCGGGCGGCGCTCCGGTTAAGTTTGCCTATAGGGCGCCACATGGGTTTGACCGGCATTGAATGTATTGATTGGTCCATGATAATACCATGCTATAAATGCTTTTAAGCATGGTTTAACAGGGTGCAAAACATTAAAATTTATTGCATCACATTCTTCAGTCCTCTCAGAGGAGTATAGCCTCTCAAATGTGAACATACAGGAAACATTAACCATTTCTTCACAGTAAAGCTAAAAATGATCAGTTTTTCCTAATTACAAAACACAAAAAATAAACCAGAGTTACTCATTTTTATCATGCTTCTCGGTGAAATATGCTGTAATGTCTAATGCCAAGGTTATATATATATATATAGTTGCACTGGTGACTTTCCTTCTGTTGAAAAAATTCCATCACAACCAGGGGTGTCCAAACAGTCTAAGGCCCTCATCATTTTTGTTCAGTTTGGTTCAGTCCAATATTTTTTTCTGAGCTTTTATTCACTACAAGTTCATTTATGGGGTGTACACCTTTAAATGGCGATACTGCCAAGGTGCAGTTTATGAGATACAGCAGGTGGATGATTTAGGTGGCTGCTCCAGGATGGACTCACGACGTAGGTCAGTGGGGGGGCCACCATTAGGGCCCCACTGGTTAAGTTCACCAAAGATGCCCGTCTCGATCATCTCCTCCTGCCATGGGATGGCGATATTGCCCGAGGCGAACTCGCTGAAAAACCTCTTGTCGGTGTTTTCCAAAGCCACGCCCTTCACTGTGGAGAAGGCCCCCACATCGTCTATATTCTTGGCATATACCGTCTTAGAATCAGGGACAAATGGTGGTGGCAGGATGCCTGCAGAAAATGAGGAGACAGATTGACTGCCAGCACCTTTCACAGGGCCTATAGGGATTACAAATATCACTACAACAGACTTAACCGTTTAGTCGCAGTGTTGAATCCCAAATTGTACTGTGAAAGGAGGGTCAATCATAAAGGTCTTGGGGTGTAATGGGCGGGGAAAGGTTTTTAGTGGAGAGTTGTATGGTTGAAAATAGTTTTGTGTTGGGTCATTAGAGGACATACTACAAGAACTCATAAGAAATCATTTACCTGCTGCAAGCTTCCTCCAGTTGATGCCGCTGAAGAAAGGGTGAGCTCGGATTTCATCACAGTTCCCATTCCTAAAGCCCAGCCTCTTGTCCACGTCCTTGGCCAACAGCCCCACACAGATGGATGTAGCCCGTTCGCTAAACTTCTCAGTGTACGTCACAGGATCGTTCAAGATGCGCTTCTTCACCTCCTTGTTCTCCACCTGTATCAAAGCCATTTTGAACAAGCAGAAATCCATGAGTAATTAGACGTATTGCAAAAGAAAGAACCACTGCTCACGTACGCGTGTGGCTCAGTGCACTAAGCCTCTGTGCCTGTGATCAGAAGGTCGCAGATTCAGGCCCGGTCTCGCCACATCTGCAGGGCCTCCAGCAAGGCCCTTAACCCCCAGCTCCCTGGGCGCCCCAACAGGTGGCTGCCCTTCACAGACAGCTTGTTCTACAAAGAGCAAGTTGATGGAGGCGTAAAAAGAATTTCCCCATGAGGGACAATAAAGGTTAGATTATTATTATTAATTATTATCCAAACACTACAGAATTTCCATGTCTTTGTTGTAGGCTTAAAAAGTCCCAACCTGTATCTATTGAAACTACAAAAAAAGAAACCAGGTTAAAAGCAGAAGAGACTTTAAGGTTGAATGTGCAGAGGTGAACAAACCTTCTCTCCCCGGCTTCTGAAGGGACCTTTTGCTGCAATGAACTCATACAGAGTGACGCCCAGAGTGAAGTAATCCACAGAGTAGTCATACTCCTCTCCTTTCAGTAGCTCTGGAGCCATGAACCCTGTGCGGAGACGGTCATCATGACTTTGAGTCAACCTCTAGCACCCCAAGTTTACAATCAATACTCAATGAGTGTCTCCAGTGAGGTGTGACATCTACCTGGTGTCCCAGCATAACCTTTGATTTTGAACTGGTCCTCTTTCAGCTCCACAGCCAGCCCAAGGTCAGATATGCGGACATTGCCTAGGAGGATATAACACCATTTATGGTCACCCTTCCAAGGCTCACTGTATTAATCAACCTCAGCTGGTTGACACATTATTTGCACACATGGGCTTCTTCGGCATTAAATCTCACATTTCATAATTATTCGTTTGGACCCCCCCACATTTAACATACCCCAGACTCCCCACCAGTGTGTCCCCCCCACATTCAAAATGCTTCTGACGCCCCTCTTTGTACATGTCCTTCATAAGCTCTCAGGATTCCCAATTAACATTTACACCATACCTGTGCCTATGAAATTAGGTGGTCTGTCTGAAACCTACACAAATTAACATACGGTATCTATATTATATCAGGAAAATATACTAAACAATTAAACCACGGAGGTATAAAATTCAGGCAGTACATTTGAGGGACATAGATTTTTTTTTTTTGACATTGGTAGGAACCAAACCAGAACCCCCACCCCCCTAAACACACACAGTACTCCTATGAAATTCATAATAAGCATATCCCTACCATCCATATTCAAATCTGCACCTCTTGCTACATTTCATATGAATAAAAATTTCACATAACAAAATTATTCATAACACAAAATGCTGCATGTCTATGCATTAGTGTGAGTGTGCGTGCATACCTTCATTGTCCAGAAGCACATTCTCAGGTTTTAGATCTCTGTAGATGATCCTCTTCTGGTGCAGGTGCTCCAAACCATTGATAATCTGGGCGGCGTAGTAACAGGCTCGCGGCTCATCAAATCCCGGGTTGTTCTCGTCCACGTTGTAGATGTGGTACCTCAGATGGCATTAAAGACCCACATTTTAAGGACAAGGATATAAAGGGAAGCAATGTAGGTCTCTGGTCTTATGTGTGAATATGATCTTACCTGAGATCTCCTCCATTCATGATGGTCATGACTAAACAAAGATCAGTCTTAGTCTGGTAGGCATAGGCTAATGACACAATGAAGCGACTGTGAATTCGAGCAAGAATCCTCTTCTCTACCATTGCCCCCTGCAGGAGAAAGATATGAATGATACCATGAGCTCATCACATGCATTTAAGCTATCAGGGGAGTACATAAACATCTCAGGAACAAATGGACAAGTCCACACTCACTAGTCACACACATTGGAGAAGGAGATGCAGAAGATACCTGACCAACTGTTTGATCCTAAAAATACTGCACAATACAAGCAGTCCCCAGGTTATGAACCAGATCCATTCTGTCTTTAAGTAATATCGGTAGGTAAGTCGGAAAAATAGTAATGCAGTAACAACAATAATAATTATACAGTAATAAAAGTCACTACATACGGTACTGTAACTCCAGCCATTGTTATTACGAACCATTACATAGCCAAATTTTTAATGAATTAGACTTTGTGGTAGTCCATTTGTTAGTACAAGTTGTCCGTAAGTTGGACGTTCTTAACTCGGGGACTGCCTATACAAACACACTGATTACTAATTTGAATTCTGTCTCCACTCAAAGAGAAGCAGGATCAACGTGAGTAATTATACAATTGTAAACACTTTAGACAGTGCTTCAAGACGTAGGGGCCTCTCACTGGTTGACCGGTAAGGGTGCCATGTCTCAGAGGAAACTCCTTCAGGCCACATGGCTCAAAAGCCTTGTGCCCTCATCTTCAAAATCCAGCAGAAATCTGTTCCATTTTTAGATGCATTAGGCCTTGCGTTTGATAATGAGCTCAATAGCTGTCAGACCATGTCAGTATTTAACAGCGAGAGTGCAGCACTAGCTAACTGTCCTCCCAGCGAATAGATGGGATTCAAACCCACAAGGCTACCAAAGGCTGAAAAAAATACTACTGAAAACCAACAGACTAAGCTGGGTAGGAAATGAACCCAGCTGATGAAAAACAGTGTGAATCAATAATACAAAACTATGCTGAAATCTGTCAACAATTTGCAGATGGACCAGAAAGAGACGAGTGAGGAATTCCTCGACTTTAGCTTTGAAGTAGCAGACATCAACAACTCCTAGAAAGGGGTGAATCACGCATCAAGATTTGAGAGTCTGTGAAATGCAACTGGATGCATATGTATTCAGACAAGGCAGAAACAAGCACATAAGAACTCTACAATACGGAAGCTCAAAAATCCAAAAATAACTGTGCAATAAATGGTGGGACAACTTTTTGCCCTGCGAATATAAAGCTGCGAAAGCTCAATTAGAAATGGTCCAGGTGGTAGAGTAGTAATAATTAGTGATCAAATGTGAGGCTACACTCTTTGAAGTTGAAATGCAGTGTGATATAGAGGCGCAGTAGGGGCATGGACACCCTGGCAGACTCAGGAGGGTCTAGCACTCTACAGGGGTCCTTGAATATGTAAATTATATGTAAAATTGAGCAGAGGGGCCAAGATGACATTTTGTCATGTGGTAAAGAATGTCCAGCTTTGTCCCTGTAATATGCAATATGTAATGTCTATGTGTCAGTTATTGAATTTGCACCTGACACTAGTCTTGAACAAGAATGCGGAGAATTCTAGGCACATCTGCAGCTTGATGACATCTTATTTAAGCCTACCATTTGATTAGCGCATAACCGATTTTTCCCTAGGATCAACATTAGATGTTAACACTCACAATATACCTAACCACCACACTAATGACCTTGAGAACGTTGACGTGGTGGACACCTTCTATTAATAACTTCTCACCTCATAGCCTTTTCTCTTCTTCAGTCTCCTCTTGTTGAGCTTTTTGCAAGCATACAATTTCCCAGTGGCCTTCATCTGGCAAGCAGACACCTCCCCAAAGCCCCCCTTCCCCAAGATACGGAAGTCCAGGAACCAGTCGTCAACAATAGGCTGCATCTCCAGCCACTTCCATTGGAGGAAACGTTTGAAGTACATGCTCTCTAGGTAAAAGGTGAATGGGACCTCCTTCAGGAAGTCTAGCACGTTCTGTAGAGTTTCATTAAACAAGTCATCTGCAGCATCCTGGTGCTTTTCCTTGACTTTGGTGATGCCATTCTCCGGAAGAAAGGGACAGAAGTACTTAGCTGAGGGCTCCATGAAAAGTTCAAGGATCTTTGCAGCCTTCTGCATGCGATTCTTGTCCTCCATCGTATCATATTCCTCGATGTGATTCCACAAGAGACCAGGACCCTTATACTCATTGGTGCTCTCCAGATATTCCTGAAAGAGACGCTTGCCAATGGGCTGCTCCACACACATGCTGTGGAACTGCAGGTCCAGCTTCTCCCGGAGGTGCTCACACACCGTGATGTGAGGAAGCTTGAGCTTGGCATGATATTTCTTATCCCGGTTAGCGGCAGGGTTGCCTGTTCCATCAAAGCTCCCACGTGCAGAGATGTAGGCTGAATTGGCCACCACAGTGGTCAGACCACCAATATCCATCATGATTGCGAGCGGAAAAATGGAGCAACTCAGAAAGAATTGGAGAGACTGACAACGCGCACAAGCACTCAGATTAAAGCGCTTTCTAATCCTTCTGCTTCACAATCCGAGAAAAACGAGAGCACTGTATCCCAATAGTAAGCCCAGAATGGTTCCTGTACCCAGACACAAGGCTGCCATCCACAGATTCAAAGAAGCCTTTGGACAGAGGGTTTAGCTGTGTGACATATACAAAGATCTGTCTGACTCATCACCTTCATGTAAGGCCTTTATCCACCTTGTAATACCCCCTATATTATACTGCTGAGAACACAGACATGAGCTCAGGCAAACAAGACTACACCTAAAGGTTAATGTGATCTAAAGAACAATGCAAAAAAAAAAAAACTAATGAGGGTGGCAGAGTGCAGTTGATTAGTGACACTAGCAAGAAAGGCATTGAACATGCAAGGACATTTTTAAGTGATTGGTATGCAATTGTCAGTTGTCTGTGTCACTCACAGCTTATTTTGATCCAACTGATTTAAGAGCAGTTTCATTGTAAATATTAAAGGAAAATAAACATGACAGTAACCATTGCAACAAAGTTTGATTTATGAACAGCCAGATTTATAATCACACAAACAAAACCTCATTGATATTGTTCTTCTGGCACCTTTCACCACCAATTCCATCCATCAATTTTCTGAAGCTACTTGTTCTATTCAGGGTCAAAGGGGGTCTGGAGCCAATCGACGGGGATATGGGTGCAAGGCAGATAACCCAGGATGGGGTGCCGACCCCTCACAGGGCACACTGACACACCACTCACTCACTCACACATGCACACCAATGGGCAGTTTGGTAGCTAATTAATCTCAGCATGTTTTTGGACTGTGGGGGGGGGGGACCAGCATACCTGGAGGTAACCCCACAATGATACAGGGAGAATACGCAAGCTCCACACACGCAACCCTGGTCCCCAGGTGTGAGGTGTCAGTGCTAACCACCGCACCACCGTGTTACCCCAATCTTCAACTGAAATGACAAAAACTTCAACATGATTACTTACCATTGAACACATCATCATATGGAGTGACTGCGGTTGAATGTCTTGCCCATGACCTCAATTGCAAATTTTATACAATCAAAAAATGTGATGTCCTTGATATTGCAAAAGAAAAAAAAAAGCATGTAACAATGACTTTTTCCTGATTATCCTATGCCAATAAATTATGGCTTAATTTGTTTGCATTAACATTGACTGTTTCCTGTCAATGTTTAACAACTACTTTGAAATGTGGTCAATCATAGTCCAATCAAGGAAGCCCTAAGGCTTGTGTGTTTAGGGTGGCTGTCAAGATTAAGACAAGATCCAATATTTAAGGACAAACTTCATTCAAAATGTATTAATTTGTATTACAGGTTACTTGCCATTTCCTTCACGTGAATACAACAAACTAGACACACGTAATTAGCAACAGTATAACACAGAATTATTCCTGAATCGCACGCACGCACGCACACACACACAACTTGATCACATAGAATGGTTATACACATTAGACCACTACCCAACCTCTCAGCCTCCAGATACCACCCAAAAGGAAAGGCTGAAGATATTAATGCAGATCTCTCATGAATTTCAAGACAGGAACCCAAGTGAAGTTAGAAAACTGTGTAAAAAAACCTGTGTCTTTTTTTATTTAAGAAAACCCAACAGTGTTATGAGTCAGAGAGAGGGACTTTGTCCCTACTCCAACGGTATAGTTAAAGGGCTGAGGACAAGCAAAGTACTCGTTAGTACAAGAATGAAGACCTCCGGCTGCATAACAAACAAACTCAAATTGAAGTGAAACATCTGGAGACTACAGATTAATCATCCCCCCAAAGTACCACACAATCAAATCTGTCCAAAGCCCAATTCCATGGAAAGTTAAGCTTCCAGCAACTCCGTAAAAGCAAGTGGCAGGACTCTATGGTACCACCACTTAATCAACTAAGCTTGACAATAGTAGAATAGCCAAGCAATATTACTTCCTACCCGACTAGACAATTTCAGTTACCTGAAATTTGAAACATTGAAAATGTAGATCAAAACATTTCAATTTACAAACGAGACCTACATGCAATTCCAAAATAGCTCAAGAATTAACTGTCTACAGATTCTTTTTGCACACAGGAATATCTACGATTGGCAAGAAGTGTGCGCTAGTAGCTGCTGTCATTCCCTTACTTTTCCACTCTGTGCCTTCCCAAACAGCGTATTACAGAAGTCAATGGGCTTCGGACCACAATCGATCCGGCAATCTGAACCAGCAGCAGGGCGGCGACAGGGCAATGCCAGGCCACCTCCGACATTTGAGCTACAGGTCAGTCAGAGCACAGTGGTCTTCACCATACATAGCTTAATATGCAAACTACAATGCTTTATAAAATTTCATACAATTCAAACGAAAAAAAAAACAAAAAACAAAAACAAACAAAAGTAACAAAAAACCTTGTTAAAACATTCTATATTTAATTCTATAATTCTACAGTCAAACTTAAATTAGATTACGAGAGAGAGAGAGAGAGACAAGAGGCATCCGGGAAAAGCTGTACACCAGAGATCCCCTTTTTTGGACAGAAGAAAATCTCGACTTTCCTCCCCATTCCACAGTTGATCTTTATATAGATAAAGCTTTAGGATTTGATTAGTCGCACTATTAGAGAAAAAGAAACCCTTGACATATAGTATGTGGGTAGAGTTCTTCCTTGGACACCCCGAATCGGCAGTAAATGTAAACAGAAATGGGAGTCTTGATGCTAAGAGCAGTTCTCAAGCCAGTTCTCAGGGAGCCCCACGCAGTCCACGTTTTTGCTCCCTCCCAGCCCCCAGTGGGGGGTCCCCGAAGACTGGTTTGAGAAAGACTGGCTTGGAGAACCAGGCAAACTCCCGGACAGCAATTCATCACAAACATTCAGTTGCAGAGACAGCTGCCTACAAACCGGCAGAAAGCCAAGTAAAGGAAAGACATGGGGAGGCCACACACACACACACACACACACACACACACAAAAAAGCTATAAATGATACAAAAATAAATCACACACACACACTGGCGCGATCTTTCACAAGCAACCTCATCCATTTAAAGATTTCATAATCCAGTCTTTGGGAATTAACCATCTTCAATCATTATAGCTGGTCAGTCAGAGCAATCACAGCTTAATGCTATGTCCTTGCGGGGGTGTTGGGGGGGGGCTGGAATTTGTTTAGTATTCTGCAACCATCAGCTGAGGTTGCTTCTAACAGTCTTTAAAAAAAAAAAAACCAAAAAAACAACAAGCTGTAGAAGCAGAACGGGGACAAAGTCTACCGGGAATGAGGATGGGACACACCCCTAATAACCCTCACTCCCCATCTCAAAAAAATAAATGGGGGGAGGGACAAAGAAAAGAACACAGGAAGAACTTCAATGAAGATGGCCATAGGGAATGAAAACAAATGGGCAGGATTAATCGTCGTCGTCGTTCTCGTCGTAGTCGTCGTCCTCATCCTCCTCATCCATGTAGGAAACGGGGGTCTCCACCCGCGAGCCGCTGTAGTGGGAGCCGTTGGAGCTGGACGCCATAGTACCATCAACACTCTCACTTTGGGCAGGCAGACCAAAAGAGAGCAGATGGAATCAGCAACGCCGAAACAAGGCCATGACCATTCAGCAATGTCGTTGGGTAGCGTGATTAGACTCACCTGCCAGCAAGACCCCGTCCACCATTAGACGACACTCCTGTTACGTACACGTTGCTTATCGATCCCTGAGCCATTTCTGTCGGAGCAGAGAGATCGCCAATGAGAAGTGCCCCTGAAGGACCACCCTACAGATTCCTCAGCAGTTGGCTTCATAGACTGGCTGACCTGTAACATAAGGCTCCAAGGCTCTGGGCACTAGACTGCGAGCGATCTTAAGGTCCTCCGGGGAACACTTCCCTGCCTCCAGCCCGCAAGCCATCCCCATCCTCTTTAGCACCTCTATGTCATCGTGGATCTCAAACATATTATCGAAGTTGAAGAGATATTCAAATCTGTCAGGGGACGACAAGATCGACAATCAGGAAGTGACAGACAAACCCCATATCTGTCACGAACTGAAGCAGCACTTGAAAGAACCCCAAGGTCCTGAACAACCACACAACTCACTTGTCATTGGAGATGCTACAGTCGATGACTGTCTTCTTGCTGGTGTTGACGATGATGAAAGGCAGATGAATGACAGAGTTTGGTGGCGGAGGTCTCTTGGTTTGCTGCTCCAGCTGCCTATTCCTCTGAACCAGCTTCTTAAAGGCAATTTGCTAAGTAGACCAGGGAGAAAAACAGAAATGGACCTCACGTCATTTTACATTTCTACACAAAGATTTACTCTAGAGGTCAAGTCAGATTGCTTACCTGCAAAATCAGTTCCTGCAGCTGGGATTGTTTTTGCTTTATTCTCTCGAGTCGACGCTGCCTCTCCACCTAAAATTTAATACAGGGATACAGATCTGAAAATTTTACAGGAACACAGATTTAATCTGAGTATCCCTAAAATGTGCATATTATTCTAAAGAGATTTCAATATCTGACAGGGTAAATATACATTAAAAATTGGAAATTCTTTGAAGTGTAATTTGAGATACTTTGAGCCAAACTAACGGTTATGTCAATTTGATTGTCCTCAATTGAAATGCAGATTTAATGATACTTGTTATGCAAATAGATGAAAACGAAAATTAACATTCTAATTTTAGCTACATGGTTTAAAATGGGTGGACCTACACAACAGACATCCCAAAAGGCTAACCTAAATAAAAAGGGCAGCTCTTGTGTGTTTCAGAGCTGCTTAACAGGCCTGTAGTCCCGAAGGTCTCGTTCTGTACTCACCTCCAAGTTCTGGCACTCCTGGGCAGAATTAGTAGGTAGGCCGATCCACTTGATCTCCTTCTTCTCCTTGGAGATGATGTTCATGGCCATCAGCACATTCAAGGCATCGTAGACACGACGCCGGATGTTCTTCTGGTCATATACATGCTGGAGAGGTAGGGAGTCACATTGGATTCTAACCATCAGGAACATTAGTGGTCACTGAGGCCTTAAGCGTCCCAGGGGCTTACAGAGTCATTGGGGGAGATGTTGTTGTCAGAGGAGCTGAACTCTGCCACTAGCTCGTCAGCGACCTCATTGTAGGTGGTGATTCCCTTCCTCTGGACCTTCTCGCACACCTTCATGGAGAAATGTCTCAGCCCTTTGCCATTCTTCTCGCCCTTCTTGCTGCGCTTCCTGTGCAGTCAACAGGACACAATGTCAAAGTCAGCAGATTCTACAGTCAGAGTCTACAAGGACTATCATAATTTAGGTACCTAGGTATCGTTCTCCTACAAGTGTGGCAAGACTTAATTCTTAGATGCATAACTAATCATGGATGTTCGGATATTGCATTAAACATGTACAAGGACTAAAGTCTCAGAATAAACCATTAATAAATCATTACATGATGCAATGTGACCACCAGCTGGCTTCTGTTTTCCAAATGACAAGGTTCAAGTTCACTTTTAAAAATTGTCTCACTATTTTGGCTTGAAAAGATACATAAATAGTAACATTACAACAATAATTACCACCATAAAGGAAAACATTACAATACTTAGAGGTGGAAAAGCATGTGGATCAGTGGAGAGGTCATTTTGTTATGTTTAAAAACTCCAAGCCACTCAGATCGAGAGCGAGGCGACCAGCAGGAACCAACCCAGTGGACCAGGGCGAGGAGTCGGACGGCTGACTCTGGGAGAGGAACTGGCTACTGGGTGTGTGTGGACTGGCCACCAGGACAGCACTGGACACACTGGGCCTCTGGGGGGTGCCTATCACCTGATGAGACACCAACACATTGTTCCAACTCAAAGACTGAGTCAGGTTCACTGCATTTGCTTGGACAACAGAAAGCGGGTCCTCTGTTCGAAACGCATGGCCGAAATTCAGACAAGGATCACTAGGACTAGAAAGTTTCTTCAAATTAATGGTAACAATATGTTAGTCCCATAAAGAACTAAACACCATTCATCAACAGTCACTCCCATCTTATCCAGTCAAGTACTATTATCTTAAATACCTAACCCATCCCCGGCAATAACACAGATGACAGAAGCCCCATTAATCGGTACCATGATTGGCAATTTACGGAGTGAAACAGGGACAATCTGCCATATAACACAAGGCATTTCTGTGTACTGGGGCAAACACAAGGTCAAATTCCCCCTTTCCAACATTCATTTGCATCAACTGAAAGCTCAGTTCTTATTAGTAATGCAATAAGCCAATAAACCCAGCATATCTGCGATCACCAAGGGGCTAGGCGGTCGTCTAAGATAGCCCAGTAAAATGTCAATGCGGTTTGATTAATTGTTCTTTTACTTGATTGAGAGGTTGCATTACTAGTACTTATTTGCACAATTAAATGGCTTAGAGACTTCAGTAACGGGGGGGGGACCGAAGAGAGGAAGAGTGTAAATCGTCCCAGGCAAAGGCTTTAGCTCTAAGAGGATGACAGCAGTAATCTTGCTGACTGCAGGTTTTGTTACAGGCTTATGTTCACAGGTCACCTCATGATGGTAAAGGAAAGTTTTTTTTTTTTTTTTTTTTTGGAAATTGCTTTGGAAACAGCAGCCAAAGGCACCCGCTGCTCTGCCTGCAAGTCAGCGGGTCGTGACCACGCAAGGCCGCTCCAGTCGTGCCATGGGAGTCCGCGGGAGGCCCGTCGCAGACTCACCACATGCGGCGCGATGTTGACGTTGGAGGGCCCAAGCGTTTTTGGCAGAAGCTGCTTCCCCAGAGTGACAGGCGACGGGTGGACAGTGACCAGTGACAGGACCCCTGCGAGAACAGGGCAAAGCAAACATCACGACCGCCCAGAGGCGAGGGCTGCGGGTCTCCGGTTTCTACAGTACAGCGTGTTACAGCCTGTTTGCTCTCAGGCGACAGATTTACACCCCATCATCAAACTGACACCATAAACCCCAAACCCAAACACACAACGCGGCAGCAACATTTCAGGCTGAGCCACACTGCAAATGCATTTCAATCACAAGCACACTGGAGTAACTGCACATAATGCAAATTAGACATCTAGATCGGTCTAAATAACAGTTAAAATAACAGAGAATGGGAGGAGAAAAACACTAACAGAGTATGAGAAATAGAACAGCTGCAGGCTGAACTCAATCATGCTAAGAATATGGCATTTTACTGCCCCCTGCTGCTGAAACACCACCATGACAAAACAGCAGTTCATATTATCTTGGTTTCCAATACATGCATGACGCTGGAGACACAGTCCAGGGGCCTGCATCACAAAGCTGGATTTTTAGGATTATCAAGATAACTTATCAGATTTAAGGTAGTCTGGGCTGAATGGAAGTAAACGAAGATGCCTTAAATCCAGCACATTATCCAGCCTAACCAACAAATCTCGTTCCGGGATACCTGCTACAGCGACTCACTTAACTCTGGTTCTTAGCTTGCTAATTAGGTTTAATAAAGTTCAGAGAGCTAATATAAATGTTACACAGAAATGAAGGTACAAATCAGTTTAATACAAGAACAGCAACCAAAGAATTCATAAATGTGTTTGCTTAAAATGTATGGTACAAAGGTGGCTAAGTGGCCATGAATTATAGCTGACTGATTTAAGAAGAGCCACGCAGACCTAGAAGACTGACCCGAGGCTGGATATTATCAGCTAAGCACATGATTGACTTAGGCTGCTCACCTTTGCTGGGACTCAAATTCTGGTCGACGAAAACCTTCAGCTCTCCATTGGTTTCAATCACACCAACCTGTAGATCAGAAGACAAGCATGGCAAAATGAAAACAGCCTCAGACAAAAGCAATTCTGTGCCTCAATATTCACTTTACAGTCATCTTTCTGAAAAGTGCCATCATTTCCAAACAATTTCCCATCTATTCTTGTATCAATATTTCCTTCAATATAATCTTTAATTTGCAGCAATACTACTTGCCTTCTGTGCTAGTTTCTACAGAATATGCAGGCTCTCCATATTGCAAAAGCTTTTGCACCCAGGGACATCACTGGCCGGCAGCTTATGTATGCAGAGAGACAAACCGATACAGCAGCGCACTTACATCTTTTGCCATGATAGAAAATCCTGGGGGGCGAGAAGGAACTATGGCGTCTTTGGGGAGAAGGAGGATTATTCTTAATCAAGAGCAGATCTCCTAAGACAGAGGAAAAACAGGACCATCTCTTACATGGAGAAACAGGTATGATTAGTGGCTGATGTAATAAAGCAGAGTTTCGATACAATGTCCGTGGCAGCCCAGGGTACATGAAGCTTTTCATGTTGAGAAAGGAGTTAAATATCTTCTAACAACTTAGACTTTTATTCTAAGTGCCTCTCTGTTATCAGAGAGGTTGGTTTATAATTTTTATACCACAGGTTGCTGGGGGGGGTGTCTACGATGCCCCTACAACCTGCCAAGTAACCAGAACTGTGGGGACATGTGACGTGCGAAAATTACATACAAGATGCAAGTATTCCTTCCTCGAGCCCTCTCGTGCTTGGGATCTGCAATCTATCGGCAAATTCATGGGAAATTATACTATTAAATAGCATGTAAACACTCGTTTTAGTTTTTGTATATTTTCTTATTTCTGATCCAAGGGAACTTAAAACTCCTGCTTGCTGCAGGCAAACTGACCGCTAAGCAGACCACCAGAAGGCACATTCATTTAAATATCTGGCCGCCGAAACTACTGTCCTTCCAGTAAATATGCAGAATAGCGAATGCCGTCCGTATACTTAAAAATCTTAATTAAATTAGAGTGCAACTCAAAACTGGGGAGTGTAAGCAGAGGAAACATCTGCTCTGGGTAAATTATGTTTAAAGAGAAAAAATGCAAGACCAGAATACCACCATTTCTTCTCCGGACAGATGCAAACACACTCGTTGACAAGGATCTAAATTGTTTTCACAGTGTCAGAGTGTGGGGGTGCAACAGAAGGCCTCCGATCCCCCATTAAGTTTTATCAATTGCTTACACGAAGTTTTTTAGTTAGTTATCGAACGACAGAGGACTTCGGCGTGTGCTGCACAATGTAAATAAAGAAAAACGTACGGCGCGCAGTAGCCAGGCCCGCCGGGAGTGACAAAAGCATCCACTTTATTTTCCGCAAAATAGCGCCACTAATACACCAGCAATACTCCACCCAAGTACTACCAACTCGGCGCTAAACAAAAACGATCACATTTCCAACGCTACTGCTAAAATAAGTGTTGCGGAGGTACTTACATCTGCTTGTCAAAACTTTTTCTTTGCCCCCTCCTTTCTTTAAAATTGCACGCTACGTCGGCCTAGAGTTAGCGTTAGCTTCAGCAAAGCGGATCAGCGAGTGTCGTGAACTACAAAATAACATCCAAGGACAGAAAAACAAATGTGCAAATGTACAAAACACGTTGCACTGCATTAACTTAACATTAACGCGAATTGCAGTTTAACAAAAACTTGCACGGTCTCGTGCCCTTAAAACCTTAACTCTACAAAACCCGCACAGCGTTGCTGAAAACATAAACACCGCTTTTAAAACGTGGCCAGAAATAATATAATGATAATAAAGCGATCGCCCACATTGCACTTACGACAAACTCCCGTCAATTCATTGTTTCCCCGACTCCCCCTTTTTTGATGGCAGAAGACGGAGGAAGAGGAGGTCTAAACCCAAAAACCAAACAGGAAACAAGAAGCAAACGGGGAGCCGGCAGCCCACCGTCCAGATCCGACAGTATTCAACATCACCGCGGTTTATTTTATATACTTCAGGCGAAATTTCGCTCCTGGTTTAGTGAAAGCAACTATATCAAGTATTTTTTTCTGGAGACCTTCATCTATCTGCTCCGACAAAATGGATGCTGCACAGCTCTCCCCCTCATTCTTATTAGGAAACGAGGTATTAAGGGTGCCCCCGTGTAACGACACGTCTCTCAGGAATACATATGAATATTAAAATTAAAGTACTTACTAGATTAAAACCAGACAACTAATATAACGCTCTCTAGTAAGACCGCTTCTCTTTGTTGGCAGTCTTACACGGGGGACGACGAATAACCTTTTTGCAAGTTTCACTGCGCCAGCCAGTGTTAAAAAAACGGTTTAATATGGATAATTTACATCCTTTGAAGAAAAACCGGTGAAGCCTCGGCGCTCCTCGTGGCCCAGCTTGATCAAGTGTCAGCCATTTTACCCCAAAAGGAAAGAAAAATAAAGCGTTAAACAGCGTCGCAAAATAAAAGGCTGCACGTTCAGCTCGCAAACCTGACGCCGGCGAGAGATAGACGGCAAACGCGGAAGCGGCGCACGAAATAACAGAAAAACAATAATGGTGAGGGACGTGACTCAAAGCTGGTCAGCCTGTCACATGCTAATAGTGCACGGGCAGAGCTAGCCGTGGGGTGGATGGCTTTCCAGAAAGGCGCCGCGGACAGGCTTCACCCCCCGGCACTCCGTCTCAGTCATGATCCGCTCCTTTGCGGCACAAAGTGAAACCCAGTAAAGGGAAACCAACTTACTTGTTCAAAATCATCAACGCATAACCTCTTCGAATGTTTTATATAAAAGGGGGGAATAAGAAACTAAACAAAGCGAGGCAGCAAATAGTTTTTTTGGGCACGCCTAATGCGACAGCGAGGCCCCGCTCGAAAATTTCTACATCTGCTGCCAGCCGCCTCAACAGCGATCCCAGGATCAGTATAATCTCCGTCCGACTCAAACTGAGCTTGGCGGTGTCCAAAAGCAAGCTCTGCCATTGGACAAGCACTGCGTGACGTTTCTAAGCATGCCGCGTTGGGCCGGCCTCCAACACCGACTGATTGGCCGTTAGACAACAACTTCCGCCTGCGACGAAGCCTATTGGATCTCCTCGCTGCCAGTAAACCCTGAGGCTCAAATGCGTCCGGTGTAACACTTAACAGCGGTTCAGCACTTTCACTGTGTACCTCAGTTCCAGCGTCCCAATACGGGTAAACCTCGGGGCAAACCGACACTATCCAATTAAATTATTACGATGACATCAGAAGAAAATAAGATCACGCACCCAGTTAACCCGTTTTGGTTGGAATAGAGATCGCTTTAACAAGAGTGCAAACATTCAAGAAATGTATTTTGCAGCATATATATATATTATAAATAAATAAAATATATATATATATATATAAAAATAATATATATATATATAGATGTGGTATACCTGCAACGGTAGCTTTCCCCCCTATTCTGGTTTAATTTAAAGTAGGTTATATCTTTTGGTTTAGCCAACACTGTAGGAGCTGTTGAGTACACTTTAAGAAAATAATGGGTAACTTAATGACATAAGGACACCCGAAATCAACTGCAGTGGCAGCTGGGGCAAAGTACAACCAATCGTAAGAGGACATAATCTTACACAGTAAAGTACAAAACAAATGAAACATACGGTCACAAATATATTTATTTGTTGTGCTTGGTAGCTGAAGCATTTACTCCCATTAGATTCTGGTTCCCTATTAAAAATATTTATAACATCAGCGAATTACAGCAGCAACATTTCTTCATGTAAGAATGCTATATAGTCAAATACATGCCAATAAACTACATATCCTCAGAAGAGTAGTAGGTTAAAATGGATATAGCTTGGGCAATAGGAAACATTTGTGTTTCAGGGCTTATTCCAAAACTAAATACAGCTCTGGGGTTACATAGACAATTCATTTATAAATGAATAACACCTTTGGTTGCATTTGAAATGGACATTTGGAATGCAATGATTGTTTTGTGCGTGTTGTAGAAAGATGTGAGCATTCTTTAAGACCGCTTATGCTGAGGCAGTGTAGTGTACATATGAATTTAAGGCACATTCAGCAGCTGCAACTCTTAAGTAGCATTATTACACTCTTAAAATATCACTGTGCAGTTATTTTTCCCTTTTACAACTGGAAAAGAAATAAAGAAAAGAAGTAAAGGAAAATTAAAACCGTCACATTCAACAATATTTTAGCAAAATGCTCAGTGCATCATCACTAAAGTTTATGCAAACCATCGTTTCAGCCATCATTTATAATGTTTAATTATTTTAAGCAATTTACATTTTTGTGAGGACAACACGGTATCTGTGTAGGGGCAGATTAACTTAGTTGAGGGGTCCTAGGCAGACAAGAGCACAGACACTCAGGGGCTGTCAATTTAATAAACTGTTCCCCCAGGCAGGCTGGGGCCCTGTTGTTTGTTGGGGCCTGGGACAGCCCATGCTTTACTCCGCCCCTGTATCTGTGTACGTGAGGCACTCTTACTAACATTTGTGCCCAGGGGCTGCCTAGAAATTCTGGACCCTCTCACAAAATGTCACCCCTGTCAAGTGTTTGGCCCTGAATCTGCCAGTGGATCCCTGCCCCTCCGACACTCCCGTTTGTGCCCTTTCACAATAACATAAATATAAATCAATGTTTTCTAAATAAAGAGAAGATTCTAGACACTTCAAAAAAAAAAAAACATTCATCACTGATCCATCAGTGACAATGCAGCACTATGGAAATTGAAACTTAATTGTAAACAATTTAAAAAACTTAAGACAGAAACTCTCTGTAGCTTAGGGTTGCGAATACCCTTTGACCCACTCATTAACCCTCTCTCTCCTTCTACACCGGCCACACTCAGAGTATCCCTCGGGATCATAAAGTACCAGTGACTTCACGTGACTGTCTTGCGCTCTGGTCGAGGGACACATTTGAGAGTGGCTGCTCTCCAGAGTACAGGAGCCAACAGCAAACTTAGTGTGGTTACACTGAGGACGAGCAGGTACACCTGAATTAAAGAGGCATCAATGTTATTTTTACACCAAAAAATGCTACGTATGCTACGAAGAAATTACAGGATTCATCATCAGTTCAAAATAGTAAATTCTAGTAACCCAGAATCAAGTGTCAAATAATGAATGAATTGCTCAAAAAATGATGCTTGGTCAATTACAATTATATTCCCAAAGCTAATAAAAACAAAGAAGTTTAAGTTTGACAAATGGCACTTACCTCCCGAGAGATTATGCCCGCTCTGCGGGCACGACTGCCCAGGACAAAGGAGAATTCACTGACTTGTGCCAGACCAGCTGAAACGATCCAGCGAATGTGCCTGGACCCTGGCGGGAGGATCACCGACAGTACAAGCAGCGCTATAAGAAACTGGACAAACAGGAGCAAAAAACACACAAGGACATGATATTATTAGAAAAAAATCCTTCGCAAAACAATCTCAATACTGTTATTATCGTCATCCATAACACAGCTCCACTGTCTTTGCTGAGGTGACACCGTAACCGTCGTAATGATCAGATGAAGAGGGACAAGACCGTAACACCGTAAAGGAAAAGAATTACGGCTGTACCTTCATGATGACCAGGGTCAGGGTCAGCACCAGCAGAATGGTGAGTTCGTACAGCACAAACGTAGGAAATACGTGAAGGCCTGTCGGAGACACATGGCCATCGATTCATAACTGCTTTTGCACCAGTATAGCACTGCTTTACTAAAATTTTAGTTCATTTTTGTCTCTAAATAAAATAGCATAATATAGAAATATAGTGCCAAGTACCGGACAATGAATAGACTCACCAATGGAGGCAAAGAAGATGATAGCAAGGAAATCTCTTATTGGTTCAACACAGCTCATGACTTCAGTGGTGACCATGTGACCCTGCGAGGAAAGAAGTGCACCAGCCAGGAAGCAGCCCAGTTCCATGGAAACGTCCAAGAACTCGGTCACCTGCAGCGGTTGGAGTGCATGGGGACTTAAAACCTCAAATCACACACACAGCCAAAAAAGTTTAAACAGAGGAAGAAAGCGGCGGCAAGAATGACATGGAAGAGAAGATTCTATGCAACAACAAACGATAATATACATCACCACATTATGCACTGCTCAAGAACGTGACATTTAAAGATGTTTACATGCAATTTAACACTGTACAATATTTGTTTTATACATCTTATTTTTAGATACAGTAGATTAGAACGGAAAAGATCATTCTTAATACTGCCAGAATAGTAGGATTCTTAAAAGCTAATAATTTTTAATGAAATCATTTTATAATAATCAATGAAGCCTTTAAAACTTATTATTGAACATTTTATCCATGTCCTTTACTTCTTTAAAACCATGATTTGATAATGTAATATAAAAGTAAAATGGTGTAACTGGGCTGGAATGGGTTAAGTAGGCAGAGCGAGATGAGGTCCTTCTCTGGCTGAGGAGCTGCCAGGCACGGTGCCCGCGCAAAAATCATACCGTCAGCATGAGGAAGACGAAAGCAGTGGTCCCCAGCACCAGGATCTCCTTAGTGCCCTTGCACTCAGCATGCAGCTTCTTGCAAAAGGGGCCAATCAGATGGGACCTGAGCAGAGCACACAGCAGCAGCACCACGGCAAGCGAGGCGGCCACCTGGCCCAGGAGCAGCAGGACGCGCAGGCCGCCCACGACAACACTGCCACAAAACGGCACAGTGAGAAACGCAGGCACACTAACAGGCCCAGGCGTCAGAGAGAAACACAGCTACAGAGACCAGCCTTGCTTATTACTTTTATTTTTACATTTTTTTTTTCCCCCACAGAAACACGTAATACATAAAGTAAACACACTTTTACTACTCACACTTCTAAACAAATCACCAAATAAACAAATTGTAGTAGCAATTAGATCAAAATTAAAACCAATCACTTTAACTTTTAAACAAATCCTTTACACAGAAGCATGATCTTTCATAAAATAAAAGATTTGTGAGCATTTTATTGCATATAACGAGTACCTAACACACCTACTGTACATTAGATGCAGATCAGCTTTATTTTCACAGCCAATAGCAAAAAGGCAGAGATGCCCAAAGGCAGAGAGGAGGGTTTACCTGTCAATACCGCCCCCGCCAGCCTGAATGAGTGTGGGCATGATAGCAATGAACAGGCCCAGCTGGA